AAAAAAAAAAAAAAAAAAAAAGAAATGGTAGTTCGAGCAAGTGAATCAGAATGTAAAATACACAGAGAAAGGAAATAGAAAAGTCAGATGCATATTCATATTCAAAAATACTGGATTTGTTGCAAAAAGTTTTCTGTTTGGGTTTGCTCTGCAGCTGTCTGTTTGCAAAGAGCTTCAGCTGCCACCTAGTGACTTCCACTGGAGCGCCGACCTGGTGGCTGTGTCTTACTCCGCTGCCTCAGGCGAAGCACATTCTGTTCAGGTAGGTAACTTAAAAGCTTATTATAAACTTTTAAAAATAAAGATATTGTACATTTGGAGGAAATACCCAAGCCAATTATGAGACATAACTAAAGCTACTGAAATCAAAACTCCGTGGCATTGACAAAGAGCTGGACACATGAGTAAGTGGAACAGAGCCCAGTTAGGCTACAGGGCCGTAAAGTTGGCCAGTGATATTCAACAGATTGCAGAAGCACTTTAGGGGAGAAAGGATGGTCTTTTCAGTAAATGGTGTTAGAACAGTTGGTCATCTATAATTTAAAAAAATTTGAATATCCCTCTAAACTTCATACCTAGTACAAAGACTGACTCAAAATGTATCATTGATCTAAATGTAAAATTGTAAAAAATTTTAGAAGAAGATGAGAGAAATTGTCATAATGTAATACTAGGCAGAGTTCTTAGAAGTCACCAAATCATGATCCATAAAAGAAATTGGTAAAATTAAAGTTAAAATAAGATCAACATTACAAACTTCAAGATACAAACCAGGCCACACAGCAGGAGGTGATCTGCAGCAAATGAAGTATCTGTATTTACAGCCAGCTCCCCATCCCTAATGTTACCCCCCTAATGTTAATGTTATCCCTAATGCCCCACCTCCTGTCGGATCAGTGGCGGTGTCAGCTTCTCGTAGGAGCAACAATCCTATTGTGACCTCTGCGTGCAGTGGGTCAAGTTTGCACGCTCACATGCTTTGTGAAAATTCAAGCCAGGTGTGGTGGCGCACACCTGTAGTCCCAGCACTTGGGAGGCTGAGGCAAGAGGATTGTTGCTTGTTTGAGACCAGGCTGTGCTACAAAGTGAGTTGAAGGCCAGCCTGAACTGCACAGCAAGACCCTGTCTCAAAAAGACAAAAAAAAAGAAAAAGAAAAAATTCAGTGGAAACCACACTCCCCCAATCCCTGGAAAATTGTCTTCCGTGGAACTGGTTTCTGGTGGCAGAAAGGTTGGAGACTACTGTTTTATAGCAAATGGCAGCAAAAGCAACAAACAGCGATGTCTGCATGACCTGAAGGATCTCAGAGACAGTAAGCCAAGTTAAAAACCAGTAGCAGTGGTTATATTTTCTGTGGTTTCATTGCTTGATGTTCTCAAAGAGACAGAACTGCACAATAACATTGTGCCAGTTAGAATGAAGGAAGGTTTGCAACTGTCAAGGGATATAATTACTGGGAAATTTGGGGGATGACATGGTTAGTCACGACTCCATGCATCAGAATACATGGAACTGTGCAACAAAGGAAACACCAGTTTATTTATTATTCACAGTTTATTTTTTTTAATTAATGAATTTATTTATTTATTTATTTTCGTTTTCTTTTAAGACAAGGTATTGCTGTGTAGTCTAGGCTGGCCTCAAACTCACAGTGATCCTCCTGCCTCAGCCTCCTGAGTGCTGGAATTATAGGCATGTACTACCGTGCCCAGGCGTGTTTGATAATTTTAAAAATACAGGTTTTTTTGGTACCCGGAGTCGAACGCAGGACCTTGCGCTTGCCAGGCAGGCACCTGTGCCACTGAGCTGTATCTCTGGCTAAAAAAACAGTTTTAAGGAGTTCTATTTCTGATTTTGTCATTGTCACAAACTCCAACTATTGAGGCTGTCTTCTGTTGGTTGCTGACTATGTGATTTTTTTCCAAGGCTGTTGCTGTCATGGTTGCCACCAGAGAAGGATCTATCCGCTACTGGCCAAGCCTGGCTGGGGAGGACACCTACACAGAGACGTTTGTGGACCTGGGGGGTGACAGGACCTGCAGTTTCCTAACAGCAGTGCAGGTGTGTGGTGGTGTTCCTACATGCTTATGGGAAAGCTGTGACTTGGGGTGGCAGTGTGGTCTCAGTGACCACAGTGTGGGTTCTTGATGGCTGTGCAGGCTGGAGGAACCTGGAAGAGGCAAGAAGAACGTGAAGGCCTATGATTTGAACGACTATACCAGTGATTCTGAACCTTTTAGGTGGTGGCTATACCAGTCAGGGGTACAAACTGCAACCCCAAATTCATGTACTGCAAAGTGCCAGCACTGTAGTTAAACCTCAGTACTCAGCTGCTGGGACAGTGCTGGGGAAACTTGGCTTTTGTGCTGCCAGAAAGGGCTCTGCATGCCCACTGCAGCATGCATTCCAGTGCATTTGCTACCACTGAGGTAGACAAAGGGAGGGCCCTGCATGGGACTCCAGAATGTCCAGGTAGTAGCAAGTACTACCACCTGCTTTTTTGTTTTAGAGCACCTGCTCTAAAAACACCTGCTTTTTTGTTTTAGAAACATCTTACAGGAATAGCTAAGAAACTTAAACTCTGCACAGTGAGCGCTTGTGTCTATTCCTCAGGTTCACCAAGGAAATAAAATAAGATACTTGATTTGTTGAACCTGTAATATGGTGAACTTCAATTTAAAAATCAGAATTTAAAGAAATTAACTTTCTCAGCTGCAAAATTTTTTCTATGTAGAATTAATAATGCCAAGTTAAGTAGATTGTGACGTAAATTATTTATGTATTTATTTTTTTGAGACAGACTCTCACTGTGTAGTTCAGGCTGGCCTTGAACTCACTATGTAGCCCAGGCTGGCCTCAAAGTCACAGCGATCCTCTTCCCTCAGCCTCCCAAGTCCTGGGATTATAGGTATGCACCACCATGCCTGGTCTATTTCAATGAAATAACATTGTGCCTTTTTATTCTTTTAGATTTAAGGTGGGGATGATTTTTCTGTCTACCAAAGAAAGCATTTCTTGTTACTTCTCGTCTTCTTAGTGTTAGGTGCTTAACTAATCTCACAGCGTTTGTCCACAGGGAGGGAGTTTTATCTTGGCCTCTGCAGGAAGTCAACTAATTCGGTTGATACCTGAAAGCTCCGGAAAGATTCATCAGCACGTCTTGCCACAGGGGCAAGGGATGCTGTCAGGAATTGGTCGAAAGGTTTCTTCCCTTTTCGGAATTTTGTCTCCTAGTAGTGATCTCATGGTAAGTTTATAAAATACTTGTTTTACAAGCTTATTTCTTAGTGAAATCAGTAAGTTGATAGTCTTCTATGAAGTTGTTATTGTATCCATCTGAATTAAAACTAGAGTGCAAAATCTAAAATGTGTTTACTACGGATCAGTTTGGCTTTGTAGACTTGACTTGAAGTGTATCTTCACTCTTGTCCTTCACCTGTCTGTGATGACATCTGGACCTGGGGACTAGTACTGCTTGGGCTCAACTGAGAGCAGGGAGGGTCATGGGACCTGGTACTTTATGGAGTCTCTCTGCTAGGTGCTCTGTGTCTGTTGTCTTGTGTAACCACTGTCTCAGCTGTGAAACAGACACTTTCTGGGGAAGCAACCTTGCTGTGGTTGCTAAGTAGCAGAGTGGGGTTCATGCCCAGCCTGTGTGCATCTGAAGCATAGCTCTTGTCACTAGGCTGTTTCTTCTTTATTTCAGGCAGCCCTTGTCACCTGCTTCAGTTTTTTTGAACCTAAAACTTAGGATGTCTAAAAAAATGTATCATATTCCTCCTTCTCTCCTATGGTTTAGACACTTAACTCTGCAAAGCTTGTCTCGCTTCTGACCTCTTTCTGTCATTGCTTTCTTTAGTGACCTGGGTGTAGGGCCCTGATACTCCTTGTGCATTCTCTGTCCACCAGCTTGCAGGTGTTCTGTGGGACGGAAGAAGGTCGAGCTTCTACAGCCTGACGAGCTCAAATGTCAATAAATGGGAATTGGACGATTCCTCTGAAAAGCTGACATACAGTTGGGATTTACACAGAGTTCTGAAGGAAAATATCACTGATGCTATTTGGGTGAGGACAAGTAACGTTCATCTCTTATTCATGTTCTTGGTTGTACAGTGTTTGTTCCTTGTTTATTTCAACACACTTAAATAGATAGTCATAGTGCACAGCCATCACAGAGCAGAAGTGGGGTGTTCAGTCCTGTGTATATTGAAGCTCACTGATTTGCTTGCTTAACAGTTTTCCCCAAGTGTATACTTTTCTCCTCAAGACATGTTGGAACCACCATAGGTGTAGCATTTCATCAAGTGCTGAGGATACACAGGTGGGAAGAAAGACTTCTTATGCTCAGGAGCTCACTTTTTTGATACTTCCATTTAGGGATCTGAAAGTAACTATGAAGTCATTAAAGAAGGGGTCAACATTCAGTATTTGGACTTGAAGCAAAACTGGTAAGCAATTAATGTGCCCTAAAGAGGTGAGTTAGATATCAATTTAGAAAATAAGTTGGTATCTATGATAAAATGATGAGCAGTCTTGCTGGCTGTTGTCCTAGTGCCAGCCTTTTCATACTCTTCTGCCAGTGGCCTGGCTCTTCTTTATCCAGCACGCTAGTCCACTTGGCAAATGGAGGCATTTTGCGGCCTTGGGTGGCACATTGTTTTCTGGATTGTCTTCCTGTTCGGACCCCAGCCAAGCAGCTCTTCGTCATGTTGTCTTCAGGCAACACCGAGACCCCGTCCTTCCAGCCCTGCGGGTGCCTGAGCTAAAGTCTGTCTCCTTTCCACAGAGATAGCTGGTGTTCATCTCAGGTGCCTGTTCTGTTGCTGAGTGAGCTCTAGAAAGCCTGTAGTTTGTGGCTAAGCTGAGCAGAGGAAGGGTGGGTGAGGTTTATCTTTGTAGTACATGTTAGAACTATTGATGGTTTATTCTCAGAGTGAATTTCTTTTTAGAAATAGTGCTGCAAGTGATATGTTAGCTTAGTTTGATAAAGCTGGTGATTCCGATAAGGGTCAAATGGAATTAAAAAGCATTTATAACCTGGCTAGTATGAGGATGCTCATAAAGAGTCCAGTGTGACAGTTTATTTTTTTTTTTGGTTTTTCTTTACCAGTAATGGGAATCGAACTCACGACCTCACGCTTGCCATGCAGGCCCTGTGCCGCTGAGCTAAATCCCCAGCCCCAGTGTGACAGTTTAGAGTGGCTCCCACTTTGCTTTTGCCATAGTGGGACAGGTGTTGCTCTGTGGGTTAAGGCACTGTCATTGTGCTGTGTGGTTCTCTTGGGCTGTTGGGATTGTTAGTATGCTCCTTCCTACAGTCTGAAAACCTTATAAAAGCTACTAAAGAATTAGAAAAGTAATGGTTTTCATTTACTTCTGCAAGCATTTTGATTAGATGCAATTGGCCTGATTTTATTTATCTTCGTCAGACTTTTGGAAACAAGACTGCTCTTCAGATGGCACCCACTGTGGACCTTGTTTTCAGATTTGGAGGCAGATTGAGAATGGCAAGAGGCACTCAGGAATTGTATCCTGGGTCTCCTCTTTCCAGTGTCACCCATGACAGCAGCAGCAGCAGTTGGTTATGCTACAGAGAGGGTAATGCAGGCATTCCAAAGAATGCCTCTGTGCTCTGAAAAGGAGAAGGCTTAGACTTTTCTTTTTTCTTGACCAGTGATGGGCTCCTGATTTTGGCTGCAGCGTGGCATCCGGCAGATAGTCCTTGCCTCCTCTATTACTCTCTGATAACAGTAGAAGATAATGGCTGCCAGATGTCAGATGCTGTTACTGTGGAAGTCACTCAGTATAACCCACCTTTTCAGGTAAGTTAAACTGCAAGGTGCCAGTAACACAAGGAGTTTTTTCTGGCCATTGCATATTCCTTGAACTTCATCTGCAGGGCAAATAATTCTTTTTCTTGCAAATACCTTAAAGTAGCTTGGTTTCTGGTACTCTTTGCTCTTTCTTTTTTGCTATTTCACTCATTCCCTTGCCCAAGCTTAGATCTAAAAAGCAGTCTGTTTGTTTTGCTGTTACTCTGGAGAGTAGTTGTCATTTATATATATTTAAAAAATTTTTATTTTAAAGAGTAAAAGAAGGATAACATAATAATAGGGGGGGCTTACCAAATTACAGACAAAGTAGTAGGAAATTATCAATGGTTATTGTTTTACATATTGTTATCTACAAGATAATTTCTCAGGAAAAGAAATAGACAAATAATAGTGAGTTACAGAAAAAAGAGCTATTCTCAATGGTTGTTGTAGGAAACACATAATAATAAACATAAATCCACTTATGAAATAGGATGGAAACAATGCAAACATTAGAGAGTTATGGATAGATTAGTAGGAAAATATCAATGCCTGCTGTAATAGATGGTGGTATCTTCAAAGTGGTTTCTCAGGAAGACAGAGATACGCAAGAAGGATCTAACAAGTAGTTACAGCCTAAGGGTTGTCAAAAATAGCATATTACCTCCTCACCAGTGACTCCTTTCACTGAGGTATGATGGCTGGAAGGAAGGCTAGGATTGAAAAGAAGGACCAAGAGACTTGCACCTGTGTTTACCAACAGGCTGTTTTCTTGTTCCTCCATAGTCATGATTACCCGGGGCTCCTCCATGGAGATGACAGTCTGGCCAGAGGGATAAGGCAGAGTATGCCCTGGGCCCCCTCATTCCTGTTGGACTAACTGGTAGAATGGGTCTGAGCTCTGGGGCCTCTGCTTCAGAGGGCAGACCGATCTCCAGTGGTCACCTTTGCATTCAGGGAATGGCCCAGGGGGCTTCTTAGGGCAGTTCCTCTTGAGGTGGCCTGGCTTTTAACAGTGGTAGCAGATGAATGCAGTCATCGAGTTCTTCTTGGGGCCCTGGGAATCAGACTTAGGGTCTGCTTCTCTTAGTGCTACAGCAAAAGCAGCTGCTTTTTCTCAGTCTCTTTGTTTTCTCTCCTTGGTCACCGCCTCGTCATAGCTATAGAATACTGAGGAGGCAATTCTTACTAACATCTCAAGTGAGCCATCTGGGGCAAAAGCCAGTTTTTGTAGCTTTTTCTCTCCATCCTCCCATCGCATTGGGACCTCACAACCAGTTAGTGTCCTCTTCGCAACCATCAGCACAGGCAGCAGGGATCTCGCTGCAGATCTCCCTGGGCCTCCATGCGTTCCTCCACCACAGCCTGTACTATCAGGGGAAGAATGGCTTCCAGGGGATCTCCCCAGGTATTGCACAAGGTCCTCCTGGTTTACAGCTTCCAAATGGCTCTCATGACCCCAGTCCACTAGACCTCTGACTCTTCGGGCTTAGTCTGTACTCTCATGTTCTCTGAGTCCTTGTTCAGCAGCTGCTCCTCCGCTGACTGGGGACCTTTCTGGTTCTCAACAGCGGGGAAAGAGTGACCGGTTGTGTGGCATGTATTCCCAGGGGTTTCTCCATGTGGGAATGATTCATGCATATCCTTGGGCGGGCCTCCGCAGCCAGTGTGTGGTGGGCCAATTGTGTCATTGTTTCTCTGTGCCATGATAGTTGTGAATTGTGTGGTGCTGGGTGGCTTGGGGGCTGGCGTGTGCCAGTGCACACCGCCATGGCACCTGCCAGGCTGGGGGCCGGCCTGTCGGCCGGTGCTCCCCACCGTGCAGCTTCCTGGGCGCTAGGGACCCTCGTCCCGGGCTCCTGTGAGGCTGGGGGCCGGCCCGAAGGCTGGCGCTCCCTGCCACACGGCTTCCTGGATGCCAGGGGCCCTCCTCCCGGGCACCTGTGAGGCTGGGGGCTGGCCTGAAGGCCGGCGCTCCCTGCTGCGTGGCTTCCCGGCTCTATATTAAGTAGAAATACAGAAAATTTTGGTAAAAGACTGAAGAGTAGAAGTAAGGAAGATGCCTGCCGGCAGTTAGGGTTCAGTTTTGAGCCTGACATATTCCTGTGTAGCCAAAGGATTGTATGTAGGCAACAACGATATGATCTCATCAGTGTGTGGACCGCTCACTGATGGAGCTATTCCTGAGCTGTGATGTGCATGAAGGAAAGTCTTGACAGCTTGTCATTTCATTTAACCTTACGTGGTGTGTAATTCTGTTAATCATTATTCTTAATAGGACTCATTTCACTGAATCCCATAAGCAAACTTTAATTTGTTCTTTTATTTCTTTTTTTTGGTACTGGGAATTGAACTCGCGACCTCACACTTGCCAAGCAGGTGCTGTGCTGCTAAGCTATATCCCTGGCCCTGTTCTTTTGTTTCAAATGGAAGTAAACCTTATTAAGTGTTTGAATTATACAAGAAAATCATACTCAGTGTGGGAAAAATTTTTCAGAAAGTGCAGAGGGATATAAAGAAAACAATTAAAAAAAAAAAAAACAATTTGAAAATGAAGAAACCACGGTCCCATTTTTTTTTGAGGATCCTATTTAATGTAATGTTTATTTTTTAAATTTTTTTGTGGTGCTGGGGGTTGAACTCAGGGTCTTGTACATGCAAGGCAAGAGTTCTACCACTGAGCCACATCTCTAGCCCAATGTTTATCATTTTTACCATTTGCTAATTTTGTCATTTAATTAGGTCTTCTTTCTATATTTCCCTCTTGAATTTATATATGGGAAATTTTACCGGGATGTGTGTGTGTGTGTGTGTGTGTGTGTGTCTGGTATCTTTTGGTGCTAGGGATTGAATCTAGGGCTTTGCATGTGCTAAATATAAGCTTGTGCTTGATGTCTTGACAGTAGAATCCAGAATCAAAATGCTTACCAGTGATTATAAAGACTTGCCAGTTTTAAAATAATTAAAGCTTTTCTTTCATTTCTCATGTTTGAGATAGGCTTCTAATTATAATCTTAACACTGTGCATATATTTTCAAGATTTGCTGTTATTTGTAACTCAACAAATGATTTCTCTTTATGTATTTTTTTATGAGTGTGTTTTCACAGCACAAAGTGATTACATTTATCGTGGGAAGTTGGTACGTATACATAATGCATCTTAATTCTTTTCTGTCCCTTTCCCCTCTCATCACTCCCTGTTCCCTCTAACTCTTTTTTGAGACAGGGTCTCGCTATGCAGTTCAGGCTGGCCTTGAGCTCACTTTGTAGCCCAGGATGGTCTGGAACTCGCAATAATCCTCCTGCCTTAGCCTCCAGAGTGCTGGGATTACAGACGTGTGCCACCACGCCTGGCTCCCTCCAAATCTTGATCCCCTTCCCATTTGAAAAATATCTATTTCCACTTTTTTCTTTGAGTCTTCTTTTAATCCCTATTCCTTTCCTTCCCTTCCCGTTCCATATGTTGTTCCCCTTCCTATTTAGAAAGATCTTTCTATTTCCTGTTGTCTGTCCTTTATTTTGCTCTTTGTTTTTTGGGTTTCTTGTATAAGAGAAACCATGTAATATTTAAACTTGTGTCTGATTTATTTCACTTAACATTATGGTCTTGAGGTACACCCCTTTTCCTACAAATGATTCAAGTTTATCCTTCTTTATGGCTGAGTGGTACTCTGTAAACACCACATTTTCTTTTTCCATTCATTTGTTGATGGGAATATAAGCCATTTCCAAGATGTGGCTATTATAAATTATACTGCTGTAAACATGGTCATACTTGTATCCCTGTAATGTAATGACTTGATCTCTTTCAGAAAGATTACTAGAAGGGGAATAGTTGGATCAAATGGAATTTCTACTTTTAGATTTTTGAGGGATCTCCATAGTGGTTATATTAGTTTAGATTCCCACAAAAATGAGAAGGGTTCGTTTTTCCTTGGAGCCTCTGCCACATTTGCTATTTGACTTTTTGATGATAGCCATACTTTCTGGAGGAAGATGATATTTCAGTGTTGTTTTAATTTGCATTTCTCTAATGACTAGTGATGTTGAACATTTTTTCATGCATTTATTGACCATCTGTACTTCTGAGAAGTATCTACTGTTCATTTCAGATGCCCACCTTTTTTTTTTCTACACACAGTTTATTTGAAAGGGGATGGGGCTGGGGATATCGCTCAGTGGCACAGCGCCTGCCTGGCAAGCAAGAGGTCCTGAGTTCGATTCCCAGTACTCACAAAAAAAAAAAAAAAAAAGAAAGGGGAAAACAAGACTCAGAAGCTTACAGATTCCTATCATTTTGTTTTGAAACCCTGTATCATTTTTATTGTTTTTGTCTATATTGTTGTTTTTATTTTTTAAATTCTCTTTAAAATAATAAAAAATAATAATAAAAAAGAAACAGATACACTGTAGCATAAATTCAGTCTTTTAAATTTGTGTGATCTTCCAATAATTTTAATTTTTATTTTGATACAGACTTATTTTCATTCACTTTGCTGAAAGAGGAAATTCAAAACCTTTTGTTATTGTTGTTGTTTTTTTGTTTTTGTTTTTCTTCTGGTACCAGGAATCAAACTCACTTGCGCTTGCCAGGCAGGCACTTTGCCACTGAGCTAAATCCCCAGCCCCCTCAAAACCTTTTTTTAAAAATAACTTTCTAATCATTTATTGATGTCCAACCCTAGCATGTAGGAAATTCCTCTGAAAGTAATTATAATTTGAATCTTCCAAATATTTAACCACTTAACAGTTTGTTCTTAGTGTCATTTGGGGGGTGCTTTGTTTATGTACTGACCATCTGGAGTGTCTCTTGGGCAGGTGTCCTTTCCACCAGTCAGTTTTTATTTGCACAAGATATACTCATGGGTCTTTTTGTTTTATATTGACTATTTCTTGCATACTTTCTTTATTTAGAACATTGTATTCACCCTGGAAGTTTGTTTCTAGTGAAATCTAATAGTAAGCTGTGGTTATTTTCTTTTTCTAATTCATGTTTATTTGTGAAAATCTATAATTTTATGCTATAATTTATAAAACTCATCATAAGTACATTAGATATAATTTGTATATTTCTGCAGAACTCAGAGATATTCTTTTATAATACAAAGTGGATAGATTTAGGACACTGAAAGTGAATAAGAAGAAAGTGCCAAAAGATCTGCAGAAGAAAAAACTGAAAATAGGAGAAATGTTAGTATAGCAGAGAGGAAAAGCCTGTTATGAAATAGAAAAATGGTATCTCTTTACTGTCAACTAGTCATAATACAGAAACAACAGAATTTGAAAGAAGAAACAAAACTAAAAAAGTTCCAACACTGGTCAATGATTGTAAAACTTCTATGATGGTGTGGACAGAGCTGACCAACATCTAACCAGCTGTCCTGTCTGATGATGACTTAGAAGACACAGAATGCCCATGGATACCTTTTTGATTTTTATGGTCTAAAGAGATGACTTTATTTCTTAGGCTTCTTTTCCACCCCTAGAAAGGGAGATCCCAGTGTTCTGAGCTTCCGAATTTGGACAGTGGTAACTGAACATGAACATCCTCTGGTTTTACATTTAACATCTTTCTTATCTGAAACTCGTGTAAATCAGAAGATGGAGACTTTTTTCCTTTTTGCTTCTGTAACAGTCTGCAACGGAGATTGCCGAGCTTCCTCCTGTCTGTCCTTCCCTTGTCCTGCTGGAGTCAGATGCCCATCTTTTAATTGGGTCTTTTATTGTGGGAGGTCGAATTTTTTTTTTTTAGTTCTTTGTATGTTCTAGATATTAGTCCTCTAAGGAATAGCTGGCATTTTTTTTTCTCAATCTGTAAGCTGTCTTATTCTGTTGGTTCTTTCCTTTGTTAAGTAGAAGCTTTTTAATTTGGTATAGTTGATTCAGTTTTCTGATTCTTGATGTTATTTCTTGTTTCATTAGGGTTCTGTTGAGAAAATCCTTGCCTACAGCTATAGATGCAAGAGTTGTACCTATTTTATCTTCCAGCAGATTAAGTATTTCTGTTTAGACATTTAGATCTTTGATCTATTTTGATTTTAGTTTAGTATGTGGTAAGATATATGGGCCTAGACTTGATCTTCTGCTTGTGGATATCCCAATTTTCTGCACTTTTTGTTAAAGAGGGTATTTTTCGTCTAGGGCATGTTTTTGGCCCCTTTATTGAAAATCAAATAGTTGAATGTGTCTGGGGTTGTTTCTGTTTCCTACATTCTGTTCCATTGATCCACATTTGTTTTTGTGCTAGTACCATGCTGTTTTTATCACTGTAGCTTTGTAATATGACTGATAATCTATGATTGTGATGCCTCTGCTTTGCTGTTGTTACCCACAGTTGTTTTTGCTATTTGGAGTCTTTTCTGGCTCCATATGAAGTTTTGGATTGTTTTCTCTAGATTGTGAGGAATACTGTTGGTATTTTAATTGGGAGTACGTTAAATCTATATATCAATTTTGGCAAATCTATAGCCATTTTGACTATATTGGTTCTGCCTATCCAAGAACATAGGATATATAACAGATGATTTCTCTAACTGATGTTCATCTTAGCAGCCAGGGATATAGCTCAGTGGCACTAGTACCTGCCTGGCAAGCACAAGGTCCTGAGTTGAATTCCCAGTACCAAAAAAAAAATGTCCAGATGCTCATCTTAGTCCCTTTGGGCTACTAGATCAAATACCTGAGATGAGTAATTAATTAGCAGAGAGTTAGTGGACGGATGCAGTTCTGGAGGTGAGAAGCCTTGGATCAAGGCACTAGCAAGTTCAGTACCCATTCTCATAGAGAGCATCTTGCTGCAGCCTCACGTGGTGGAGGTCAAAAAAGGTTTGCCAGTCTCTTTTGTATGGGGACTAACCCTATCCATGAGGGCACAACCCTGATGACCTAATTACACACCCCTGCGCCCACAATATCATTACCATGAGGTAGGTTTCAACATGAGAATATCAGAGGAACACCGATCTTCAAACCATAGCAGTTTCTATAAACTGATTGTATCATGTTTTATAAATCATGTCATGGGTAATGTTTAGATTTTCATGAGAATCAGTGAATTAACATTTTATCCTTTTTTATGGGATAGTGTATAAAAACATGATTATAAAATTATACCGGCAGTTTTGTTTCAGTTCTCACTAAATATAATTTTAATTTGAACTTTCAGTCTGAAGACCTAATTATGTGTCGGTTGATGGTCCCTGACTTCTCAAACCAGACTGCCTATCTATACACTGAAAGTGCTGTCCATGTATGCTCCACAGGAACTGGGAAATTTTCTCTTCCTCAGGAGAAAATTGTCTTTAGTGCACAAGGTACAGTAGTAGTTTTGTTTTGTTTTATTTTGTTTTGAGACAGGGTCTTGCTGTGTTGCCTAGACTGGCCTCGAACTTGAAGTGATTCTCCTGCCTCAGTCTCCTAAATGCTGGGATTACAGGCATGCATTACCATGCCCAGCTTCTTAGCAGTTTTAGAAGGCATGTGGCTGGGGATATAGCTCAGCGGCACAAGCCCCCACCTGACAAGTGAAAGGTCCTGAGTTCTGTTGCTGATATAAGAAAAAAGAAGAAGGCGTGATTAGGGAGCTCACTGGTCATGCTTCGTAGTTCTCTTTCCATACTTGTGGCTTTAGACCTAACATTTCAGCATAACACCACATAGGCAGAGCTGATATCACAACCCTACTGAGAAATCAAAATGGTGGTAGATTTCCCAAACATTTACATTTATGGGCAAAAATAATAACATTTTCTTTGGGGAGGAGACCAAAAATGAAAGCAGTGATACTAAAGGAAGGAATTGCTGATCCTGATTAGTTTTTGAGTTGATATAGACTAGTTCTTCCAGACCCTGTAAGAAGAGTCCAGGTGCCAGACTCAGGCATGCAGCTGAAGTTGGAGAGGGCTAGCCAGGAAAGTAAATAAGTCAGGTGGATGTTCTAATCGGGGCACCTATCTAAGGGATTGCACAGAGGACAGTTGGGAAAGGCTGCAGCATGGATCTGGGCGTTTCTTGTCCCTGGCCAAGAGCCTAGAGGACGGAGGGATAGCACTGCTGAGTGTTCAGTGGGCTTGGGCACCTCGCTCCACGGCTGATCCGATGGACACAGTTGAGCCAGAGGACGCTGCAGGATGGAAAGAGCTGCTATTCTGAGTTACGCAGGATGAATATTTTCTTCGGGAGTTTACTCTACTCCCTGGCGTCTTACAAGGACAATTTTTCATTTCCTTAAAAAGTAGAAGGGCACAGAGTGTGCTTCTTTCAGCAGCAGGTGCTTGATTTGATTCTGGCGTTTAGAAGCTGAGTTCACGGTAGGAGTAGTACTGTAAAGGAAAAAGTACGTGAGCGTGACTCTTTTCTGCCCAGGGTGGTGGACTTTAGAAGATGTATTTGTTTTCTTTTTAGGAGATGGCATTTTGGGTGCTGGCTCCTGTGGCGGTGTTCCCATCCTCTTCTCTAGAAACAGTGGCCTGGTGTCCATCACGTCGAGGGAAAGTGTGTCCCTCTTAGCAGAAGACGTGGAGGAGTCCTTGGCCTCTTCAGTCACCGGACCAGGCAGTGAGGTTGGTGCTTTCTTAAGATGGTTTAACTTTTGTTTTTATATGACTATTTCACACAAATGTTTTACATAAGCCAGTTTTAAATAAAAACTTTTTTTTTGGTAGTATTAGCAATTGAACCCAGGGTCTTTGGACTGAGCTATATTCCTAGCCCTTATTTTATTTTGAGACAGAATCTTACTAAGTTGCCTGGGCTGAGTTTCAACTTGTGATCTTCTTGCCTCAGCCTCGAAGAGTGCTAGGATTACATGCATGTGCCACTGTGCCCCTGAGAAAACATTCATTCTTTTATCTCCCTCATTCCTTTGGTCTTCTTTCTCAGAGCAGCTTCTTTTAAGTCTCTTAATTGTTCCTTCTGCTGTTTTGCTCGCATTTCCGAACAATATTTGCATGTTGCTGTCGCCTGAGTTACCAATCTTAGAAGATGAATGCTTGGGGTAATTTATACTCCTTCCTCTGTCTTTGCCATACCGATATAAATGCTTTCCCTTATAATAGTAATGTGAATATTGGTTTTGTTTTGCTGAGCGTAGTAATGTACTGATTGCATTTCCCTCATCACAGTCAAATGGCATTGTTTTATACTTGGCTCATTTTTCTTAAATGCCTGTCATCCCACATCCTTCAGCAGCTCTGAAAGACTGTGGTTCTTCCTGTGATGGGATCTCAGGAAACTGCATCTGCATAGGTGTGACCCTGAAGCCTTCTTTCTGCACTGCCCTCAATCCCTCAGGGCCTGTCCATCTATGAGATGTCACTCTCCACTCCTCCCTTCCCCTCCCCTCCCCTGTCCCTTCCCTTCTCTTTCTTTTTCTGCTATTGGGGCGTGAACCTAGAGCCTTTGCTTTGAGCTACATCCCCAGCCCTTTTATTTTATGAGACAGAGTCTTGCTAAGTTGCTCAGGCTGGGCTCAAACTTGTGGTGCTCCTGCCTCAGCCTCCCATAGTGCTGAGGTTATAGCTATGTACTTCCTCCATGCCTGGCTTTTTGTTTTTTTAAAATCTTTTACTGGAGTTTAAAAATAATACTATTTGGAGTGTATTCCATTTTGAATAGTATGCAGTGTAGTTTATCTTGGTAATTCAAAGTAAGGTGACTTGGTATAGTTTCTACAGAAAGTAAGATTTTTAAACTTTGTTTTATAATCAGGTGGTTATATTATAATACTGCTGTATGTTCTGAAGCTACTTTACAATATTCCATTTCTTTTAAGTTTTTCTGAATCCTTGTTTAGTCTTATAAAAAGTGAAAACCTATGAAAAATGGTTTTGGTTATGATGAAATCTCCTCCACTTTTATTTGTCTTTTTTGAGACAGGGACTTGCTTGCTATGCAGTTCAGGTTGGCCTTGAACTCACTTTGTAGCCCAGGGTGGCCTCGAACTCACAATGATCCTCCTGCCTCAGCCTCCCAGGTACTGGGATTACAGGCGTGTACCACTGTGCCTGGCTCCCCGACCCACTGTTTTTTAAGTGGAACTGGGGATTAAACCCTGAACCTCTAGCTCTTTTTATTTTTTATTTTGAGATAGGGTCTTACTAATTGCCCGAGATGGCCTTGAACTTGTGATCCTCTTGTTCTGGTCTCCTGAGTAGCTGGAGTTACAAGTATGTGTCACCATGCCCAGCCTTACTCAGGATAGAATTCTTGAATTATCTACCTTTTGGAGCTGTGGTTAATTGTTGAGTTTTGTTTGTTAAGTTCAGTAAATTCCTGAACAACTTTGTGAGATAATTTAATAACCAGCTTGTGTGTGTTACTGTCCTGTTATAGGATGGGTCCAGTTCATTCTTGAGCAATTAGGAATGTTCTGATTCCTTTACCTGTAAACTGAAGCTTGTTTTTTGCAGAGTATGGTGTTTGAGACCACCACGAAGAATGAAACCATAGCACAGGAAGATAAAACAAAGCTTCTGAAAGCTGCCTTTCTGCAGTACTGTAGGTACGGCCCATCTTTAAGATCCGGGTTTGTGATATGTCTGGGATATGTTCTGCTGACACGTGCAGCAGATTGGGTGATGGGGAGAGCAAGTTGGAGGAGTGCTACTATCAAAAAGAGTAGGCTTTTCTGGACATCAGTGATTTCATGAACAGTTACTCTGAGCTTGATAGCTGCAGGAGTATGAGCTAGGCTGGGAAAACATCTGACCCAACACACTGATATACAGATAATACATTGCAGATGAAGTTTTGTCATTGTCATGAAAGAACTTAATAATTTAAAAGCCCCTTAATGATTTGCTGGCTTGTTAGTTTTGTTGCATACAAAATCACCATAAAATTTAGTGGCCTCTGAGTTCTGTGGCTTAGATTCTTCAGTTCAGTTCTTTGAGACTGGGCTTGGGTGGCGGTTAGACCATTCCCAGCTGGGCTTGCTCATAGTGGCCAGGGGCCAGGCTGGCTGTTCTTGGCTGGGCTCACGCATGTTTCCAGGGCCTTGGCTGGCCAGCACTGTGGTGGCCTCTTATGAGCATGGTGACGTTTGGGGCAGGTGATCGGTGGTTGCAGTGGGAGCATCCTGGGACCTTCAGACTGTTGAGCAGCGTCTCTGGCCTCTTCCCACTAGAGGCCAGCAGCACCTTTCCCTCTTCCCCCTCATGTGCAGACACAGCCCAGTGGCCCTGAGAGGCAGAATTGGTAGGTAACACTGTCAAGTTCTATCCAGTTTGTTTTTTTGCTAAAGTAGGTTATTGTTTTTATAGTGTGGTTTCTTTAAAGTTACCTTCTTATTATTTTGGTTTTCACTTTAATTAGCTCAAAAAATATAAATGGAAAATCTGTTTTGTCACAGTCTAGGGAAACTTGTCCTGAAATTACTGATTAGCTCTTGCCCTGTCACGCTTACATTCCTGCAACCCGTACTGCAGCTGGGCCTCCAGCTTTAGCCTGGCTGTTCATTTTCTCAGGACGCCTTTCTGTACTTGCCTTGTGAGCTCTGTCCTATTCTGCCAAGAGACCATTTCAGACCTTTTCTGGGCATTTCCAGCCCCTTCTTTCGAACTTGGTGCCCACAGCTTTGTTTACCCCATCGTCTGAGAGGCCCCCTGGGCTTGGTCACAGAATAGAGGGTGCAGAGTACCTTGATGCTGTGGCAGCTCCAGTCTGCCCAGGGAGGTTTGCTGGTGTCCTTTAGTCAGCAAGGCTCAGGGGTGGATCCGCAGTGTGAGGGCACTTGTGGATAAATTCAGACTCAGTTTACCAGTGCATATCACCTTCCTCAAAAGTGTAGTAAAATCATAACTGAATATCCAGCAAGCTTGTGGTCCAGCCCCTCTTCCCCACCCTACCATGATCTCTTTGAGACTGTGCTTAACATTCCTGGTATTCTGCTCCTTTACTGGAGTAGTTTAGCATGTTTTTATTTCTAAGAAATACTGAGAATGACTGCCGCCATTTCCGCTAGACCCCAGTCATGACCCTGTCACCTCATTTGTGGTGGTATCTGATATATAGCACTGTCACTGAAGGAATAGCAGACTCTAAAGGGCTTAATGATTTGCTGAGCCTCATTTGTGGTGGTATCTGATATATAGCACTGTCACTGAAGGAATAGCAGACTCTAAAGGGCTTAATGATTTGCTGAGCTTAATGATTTGCTGAGCTGGTACCCTCTTGTCCACAATGGTACAAGAGGGTACCATTAGACAAGATTTTATTTCTGCTTACTCAACAGTATTGTTGTAATTTTGTTTTGTTTCATGGTTCTGTCTTACCAGCAAGATATTATTTATCTTGGACATGTTTTTCTTTCATTCTTTCATTCATTCATTCATTCATTCATTCATGTATTTATTTTTGAGACGGTCTCACTGTGTAGTGTAGGCTGACCTTGAACTCTATGTAGCCCAGGCTATCCTCAAACTCATGGTGATGCTCCTGCCTCAGCCTCCTTAGTGCTGGGATCACAGGCGTGCCCTGCCACACCCAGCAAGTTTATCCTTCTCTTACAGTTCTAACAGATATAAATGATGATGTAGCTAGTCACCATAGTCATTGTGTTAATTTCTTGTGGTGTCATACTAATTACATAGAACAACAGAAGAGTACAGTGTTCTCTTAGAGTTGTGGAGGCCCAGAGTCCAAGGTGAAGGTCCAGGAAGGCTCTGGAAAAGAATACTTTAGTGTCTGTCTTGGTTTCTGGTGGTTGTTTGGCTTAGAGGCCCACCATTCCATTTCTGCCACTGTTGTTACGTGACCTCTTCACAAAGTAGCTGTCTGCACATAACCTTCTCAAAGGCACCAATACTGGATTTAGGGGCTACCCTAATGCAAATAATTGTATCTACAGAAGTCTTATTTCCAAGTAAAGTTACATTCTGTGACTGTCAGTATACGTGAGTGGGGTTGTGGGAGAACTTTCCAACCAAGTGTAGGCAGTGTGAGATGTTCTGTGGGGAGATTACAAGGCATGGAAAGGGTTCCTAGATGTCAGCCCTGTGAAAAGGGGGCACCCTTCACCCAGTGTATCCAGTGTGAGGTACCTTGGAGGGCTACTAGGCATGGAGGGAGTCCCTGGCCTTAGCTGGGTGTGTCCTAGTCCCCTAAGAGGGCTGTTACTTAAACCTCTTTGTGAACTTCACATGTAGTGATTCTTGGGGGGACTCAGCCAGGAATCCTAAAACAGTTGATTCTTCACAGTAGGATTGCAGAGCTGTCAAATCAGAAGGTTTCAACCTATTTTCTTCAGCACTCTCCTAGTTAGGTTATCTCCCTCCTGTTTTACTTGCTGTCTCACTCCCTTGGTACTTCATGGAGTTAGGATGGTCTTCTGGAAAACCAGAAGAGATCACGATACCTCCTCCTCGTTACCTCACCATGGTGGCCAGGACCAAGTATAAACTTCAACGTGGCTTACAGCACTATGTGTTCGCTGATGTTTTTATTTGTCCCTTCTAAATGTGAGCCCTGCCTGGCCCCCTTGGACTCACCGTTATCCTGGTTATCCTGTAATGTCTCCACCCAGCATAGAAGAATTTGCTTTTTAAGGATTTGCCTGTCCTTCAAATGGTTGTTGCGGATGCTTTTTTCTTAACTTTTCTCTCCCTGGGCAATCTCCACCTTCCCCAGGGCTGCAGGCCCCTCAAAGATAGCTTACTTGCTGACTGGCAGGCTCATGTGTTCCTGCCACATCCTCCTAAACTAGGGCAGCCCCTCTGTGGCTCTGTAGTCCCATCTTGACCCTTCTCATATGTGTGTGTTACAGTTTAACTGTCTGATTCAGGAGTCCTGACACTGTCTACTTTCTAAAGCCCAGTGCTGATTTTGATGTCTTGTTCTTCATTTTGTGTCTAGGGCCTAGCATGTACTAAATGTGCTCAGAGTAGTATTAATGACTACATAATAGTTTTCTCCCTTTTAATTGTTATTAGCAATATTTTGGGCTGAAACCTCCATGGGACTTCAACAGTTTTCCAGGGGAAATGTTTTGCCTCTTTTCATGCTTTTGTTTTCCTTTTATATTTTTATTTTAATTTTTAAAGACAGTGTTGCTTTGTAGTGCAGGCTGGCCTCAACTCCCTGTGTAGCCCAGGCTGGTCTCGAAGTTACAGCAGTCCTCTTGCCCTAGCCTTCTGAGTGCTGGGATCATAGCCATCTGTCACCATACCCAGCTTGTTTTCTGATTTTATTTCAGGAAAGATTTGGGCCATGCTCAAATGATGGTGGATGAGCTGTTTTCTCACTCTGACTTGGATTCTGATGCCGAACTAGACAGGGTCGTCACCCAGATCAGCGTCGACTTGATAGATGACTATCCAGCTTCTGACCCACGGTGGGCTGAATCTGTCCCCGAAGGTAAGAAGAATTCGATTTTACTGAGTGGTGGGGCAGCCTGTTTGAGATGGATTTTCTTGTTCTTCATTCAACGTGTCTCTCAAAGCACATTTGTTAAAAGGCTATCACTACGTTCTAGTAGGTTTTGCAAAGCACCCAGGATAGATCTAGTTAATAAAGAGACTGATGAAATACTGGAACAAATCCCAGTTATCCTTTTTCTGAGTTAGATTACTTTGGGTTGTCAGCATTTTACTTTGAAAGGAACTTGATGATGTAGGTAGGCATTTGACACTTACTTGCCCCAAATTGAATAATTTTGGCATAATCATTAAATAATTTTGGTAATAGAATCTACACATTCTCGTAAGAGTAGCAGGGAATAGGTCTCAGTATATAGAAGAGGCCACAGCATGTCCTCCTGCCTGTCCCAGATAACCAGCCCTTATCTCTTTGCAACACTGAGGCCACTCTGCAGTTCCTGAACTCCGGCAGACTGGCTCAAATGAACATTTCTTTCCTTCATGGTCCTGCTTCAAGCAAATCTGCTCAGCATCAATAGGGGTGAGGAAAAACAGTATCAGTACCCACCTCCTGGAATGATGCAGAGATTAAACTAACCATAGTACACTTTTTAATTTGAATAAATACATTATGACTGGTATCAAACCCTCCCCAAGTTTCTTCTAAATTGTAAAACTTGAGTAATGGATACAATGTTGCTGATGAGTCAGGTGTGGTGGCACATGCCTGTATCCCAGCACTTGGGAGGCTGAGGCAGGCAGATTGCTTCTAGTTCACAACCAGCTTGGGCTATACAGCAAGTTCAAGGACAGCCTGAACTACATAGTGAGGCCCTGTCTCAAAAGGAAAAAATAATTTACTGATGAATTGTTATTCTCTTTAAAAAAAATTTTTTTTTAAAAATTTACTAGCAGTGATTATTATAAAAGTATGACGTTTGGCGTTTCATCTCTAACAGAGGCCCCTGGTCTCAGCAACACCTCGCTGATCATTCTCCACCAGCTGGAAGACAAGATGAAAGCCCACTGTCTGCTCATGGACTTCCTTCACCAAGTAAGAATGTGTTCTGGGCTCCCACAGCTGCGGCGGGGTCTGTTGTTGCCTTTCAGTCCCTCTAGCCGGGAGGGCATCCCTGCTCTCTATGTGAGGCATTACCTTGGGTGGGACCTGATTTATGGCCCTCATCTCCTGTGACCAGGAAGGAAAGCTGCATTGAGAATACAACTGAAAGAAAAGTGTTTCAGCTTTTTTTTTTGTCATTTCAGCTTTGACACTGTCATATCCCTGAAACCTGCTCTTTTTAAAAGACAGGATTTCATTCAGATTTTTCTCTGTGTGTTTCTATAAAAACTTAGGGTTTTATAGATGGGTTTTATATTGTTAGGAAGAAAATTACATTGGTCAAAGCAAAGTGCAGGCCAGTCCAGATGGAAAGAAGCTCGGTCTTTGTCCCCATACTGTAAGAGGGTGTACATGCTGCGTGTGGGAGGCGGGTGCCATGCCTGGGACACACCCATTGATCGGAGGCCACAGCCATCCAGGCTTGGGCCTTGTGTCCTCTCTTGGCCCAGCTTCATCATCCAGAGATCCTGTCGGAGTCTCAGCTGCTCGTAGTGTCTACCAAAGTCTAAAGACCCCGTTCTGCCTATACCGTGTATACTCATATTATACTCATTATTTCGTGATTGAGAAGTGTTTGCATTAGTGGTCACTGAAGCACATGTCACTGAAACGTCTAAGGAAATACTTCTCAGTGGAGGGCATTTCATGTCCTCAAGCCAGTTGATCGTCAGCCAGGTTCAGCCTCATTCTGAAGAGGGTAGGGAGTGATGGCAGCGCCGCAGAGCTCCTGGCTGCTCCTTCCTGGAGTGGAGGGTGCCTTGAGCCCTGTGTAGAGGGTCAGGGAGGGGTCAGCCCGGTCTTCCTCCGTGTGTCTGTGTGTCTTAGCACGCAGCAGCGCTTCAGAGCTGTCCGCTTACGGTGTTGGGAGGCCTTGCAGAAGAACAGTGCCTGAGAGAGCTTTGAAGGAACCAGGAAGTGAACTCAAATCATAGACTGTGAAATACTTTATTTTTTTCAATTTTAATTTTTTATTAGAATACGTTTGCATTACATAATGATTATATTTCTTATGGAGGAATGTACATAACACATCTTAAACTACTACCCACCCACCCTGTCTCTTGGTCCCCTTACCTTTTGTGAAAAATAATCAGGTGAACAGGTTGAATGAATTAAGACATTGCTTCAGGGAAATACTTCACAGTCATTAAAAACAATACCTTGGGTGGGCAATATAGCTCAGGGCACAGCGCCTGCCTGGCAAGTGCGAGGTCCTGAGTTTGATTCCCAGTACAAAAAAAAACAAAAATAATACCTAAATGTTGTGGAAAAAATAATATAATCTCACATTTAACAAAGTTCAAAAGGGTACCTGCTAGCATATAAGTGCCACAGAAGCAAATGCAGAAGTAAGTTAGAAAACAGATCATTTGTTAATAAAAAAAAATGTATTTTAATGTGGACAATTACTGATTACGTTGTGTCTTCGTTGCTTCCTAGTTTCTAGTACTATAATGTTTGATCAAGTTAGAATGCTTAGGAAAACTCCTAGACCATAGTGACCCACAGAAATGGGTGTCATTAAATCAGAAGTAGGAGGAGAAAGGACTGAAGACTCTCCAAGAGCTTGTGAAGTCAGCCTTTGGAGGTGGAGGCTGTTGAGTTTCTAGTACCTAAAGGTCTGGAATTCAGGCAAATTTATCGGTGTAGATGGAAAAGAACAGTTTGACCACTTTGATGGCCGCTTTGATAATCACGAGCAGCAGTTCCAGAAATTTGGTTAGGTAGAGACAATAGTCATGGCTAGAGACTCTGGGAGAACGCTGACAGGAACAGCTCCCCCTCCTTAGGGGTGTTACTGTGTGTGCGGTGGGAACAGCTGAGAAGAGAGACAGCCAAGAAGAGAGGCAGCTGGAGGTCTGTGGTGGGAGGGCCCAGGGCTGGAGGGGAGGGTATCACTGTTAGTTTGCCTGTGGCCGTGAATGCTCACCGAGAACATGTGTGTCTCCTGTGAGGTTGGCTTGTTTGGGCGCCTGGACACATCTCTAGTCCGAGGGACACTGATGGCAACTCGGCTGCTGCTGTGTGAGCACGCAGAAAAGCTGTCAGCCACCATCGCTCTCAAGAACCACCACTCCCGGCTGCCAGACCTTGTGAATGCGGCCATTCTGATTGCTCTGAACAAGAGGGAGTGTGACATCCCGGGCAGCCTGACTCCTGCAGACGTCTTCTTTCGCGAGGTCAGACTTGTAATCATTTGTGCCTTCCTGAGGCTTTGCAGCGCTGTGCTGTGTGTTCATCATTACAGGCAGACCAGAGAGAGAATGGACTAAATCTTGAAATTCTAAGTTTTATTGTCTGTTTTCTGGATACCGTCAGTGGGAAGTGTCCCTCATTTGTTACCTGGTCTGTAAGCAGAGCCTGCGCAGCCGGCTGAGAAGGCTCCCCAGTTCTTTTGTGTGCCTGAGGTTTCCTTTGTCTCTCCACGCCCTCCCTGGGCTCTGGTGCAGGAACCTGCCTCCTAGTGAGCTCCCCAGCCTTGGCCTCCTGCGGGATATAAGGAGTGTGGGGCGCAGCAGAGGGCAGAGGGTGCAGTAGCCATTCTCCCAGCTTCCTTGCTCACCTGCGTCCACAGCACATTGGCTGTGCCTGTTGTCAGGGATGCTGCTCCTGTCCAGCCTCTTGCCTCTGCAGTCTGGTACCTGTCCCCTCCCCATGTTCCTCCTACCTGGGAGTTCAGCCAGGGGTGTTCTTTCCCCCTGGGCCCTTAGTCCTGTCCCCAGCTCTATGAGCAGCTCTTCCCCAGAGCTCTCCTTAGCACCCTACTAAGGTCCTGCTTATAGCCTCAGTTTCCATGCTAGGCTCATTTTCAGAGGAGAATGAAGCTCAGCTTTAAACTTTGGAGGGAGAAATGATTGAGATGTCAGCCAGCAGGTGGCAGCTGAACACTGTTAGTAACATCGTGATGTGTTCCCGCTTTTGTGTGATGCTCCACAGCCTGGTAAGGCGGTGAGGCAAACCGTTCCCTCTTCTGTAGAGAAGTGTGATCAGGCTTATTGCCACTTGACCGGACTAAGACTGTAGCCGAGTTCTGAGCCCAGTCCTCGGCTCTGCTCTTGCACGTGCATAGCTTACTTCTGGAGTTTGTTGCTCTTTAACTAGGACTGTCTTTCCTTTTGCAGTGGTCTCTGATTTAAGAGCTGGTTCTTCCCTCAGCTCTGAAATTTGGAATTTTCCTGTACAATTGAGGAACTTCTTGGTGACTCAAGATCCAGTTTCTCTAGCTGGCTAGGTCACATTTAACAGGCCAAATTGCAATTTTCTTAGTGTAGACTATTCATTCCCCCCTCTACGTATTTAATTTTCTTCCCCAGCACTACTGCAACCCTGCCTTGGTACCATATTATTAAAAACATTAAGTACCTGGGATTTATGCTTCAGATCATTTGAGTAATTTCAAATGGTGTACAGCTCCTCATGTAAAAAAGATGTCTTAGGGTCACAGTTGCTTCATAAAGTAATTATATTCAAATAACCTGACATATCATACCATAGCAATTACAGAGCAATGATTTTGACACACGGCAATTTATAAGTTAAGCAAATGTGAAATGCTAAAAGATGTGAACAGCTGTTCTTCTGTTTAAGTGTTAAGTGTTCGTTTAAGAGTGCTGCAGAACTCAGGTAGTGACTCTGTTTTTTAGTATAATCAGCCTACAGTACAGCATACCAAGTCATAAAGTGCAAATCCAAGGAAGATAATACCTTCACTAAGTTACAAAACTTTTGGCAAGCCAATACAGTACTCTTCAATACAATAAAATAATATTTCTGTTGGAGTGATAATTTTCACTCCAAAAAATCATTTAAGTACCAAATCAAAACACTATGGCTTCGGGACCGGGGAGACAGCTCAGCAGCACAGCGCCTGGCAAGTACAAGGTCCTGAGTTCCATTCCCAGTACCCCACCCCGCAAAAAACCTCTATGGCTTTTAGCAGAGCAAGTTATTTTATACAAATTTAGTGTCTTTTGCAGCTTTACAATTTCTTCTTTTAAGTGAGCTCATTGTGCACACAGGTCTGGTTTGTTTGGGGGTTTTTTTGGGAGGGGGAATCAAACTCAGGACCTTGTGATGCCAGGCAGGCGCTGTGCCAGTGAACTATATCCCCGGCCACAGGTCTAGTTTGTATCAGCAAGGTGACTGTGTATACCTAGGATGCGGCTCTGGGATTGGTCCACAGTCAGGGAAGTCCCAGTGTCTGAAAAGCTTTAACATTCAACCTTAAGAAGACTCACTGTCAATACCAACTTTTTAATTTTTTTAAAATTTTTTTATTTTTTCGTTTTTTTTTTTTTTTTTTTCCAGTACCAGGAATCGAACTCATGACTTGTGCTTGCCAGGCAGGTGCTGTGCTGCTGAGCTAAATCCCCAGCCCAATACCAACTTTTTAAAAAATGGTTACATTTTCACATAAATACTGGGACCCTAACAACTAGTCATTTCAAGTCATACTAGCATCAGATGATCCCTGTTACTCCAGTTTATAAAAAAAGAAATTCTACCTAAAATATAGTTGTGGTTTATTTTTTTTGTCTTTTTGAGACAAGGTCTCACTATGCAATTCAGACTGGTCTTGAACTCACTTTGTAGGTAGCCCAGACTGGCCTTGAACTCACAATGATCCTCCTGCCTCAGCCTCCCAAGTGCTGATATTGCAGGCATGCGCCACCATGCCTGGCCCTAGTTGTGTTTCTTAAATGACAAATATATTGTCAGCTTGGAGAGACTTTGTACTGTATACCAACTTCGTCATTTCTCTACAAAGGCTATTGCCACCATTGGTCCTTATGCTTCCTCTTGCTGAAGCTGTCAGTACTTCATTCTCAGCATTTAATGTACATATTACCCACTCTGTTGCTTCTCAGCCTTTGTTAGCATTTCAACATGTTATGCTTGCCACCAATTTTTCAAGGTAACTGCTGAGGCTGAGTTCTTTCGCTGTGACTTCCTAGTTTTTTCTGGGTCCTGAGGATGTGGTTTGTATATAAATCTCTTACCTACTGAAACTATATTTGTAAATGAAATATTAGTAGATTTAAGTTCCATTGTTTTCTGTATAAGATCAATTACAGAATGTTCTTGCACATATGTTTTGGTTCTTGCTGCACCAGTAATAGACTTCAAGGCAGTCCCCACTCTGCTGAGTAGTCTGTGGCTATTCAGCTTTCCAGAGGGATCCGTATGCCTGTCTAGCACATCAGCTCTGACCCCACTTGGTTTCATAGGGTTTGGGTATTTCTGCATCACAGCTCTTATAACCATTTCCTACAGAGAGTCAAATACATGCTCTGCAGTAGAGCTCTTCATAGTGCTAGCAGGCTGCTCACTGTTTGGGTGGTGCTAGGGGACATTGAGGTACAGAGTATAAATTTTAAAATCTGCTTGGTAACAACAGGTTTTGACTGCTTATAAGACATAGTTATTTATGTGCTCTAACTTTTAAAACTTAGGTGATTAGAATTCTCTTTGTTTTTAAATTTTTTATAATCATTAACTGCCAGTAAATTTTCTCCCATCTAATACTCAGAGGATCTAGCTTAATGAGTAAGTGGTCATCACCAAGACTTTGTGGTAAGTAGTGGCCCCTGTCTGCCCACAGGTATCCCAGGTGGATACCATCTGTGAGTGTCTGCTGGATCATGAAGAGCAAGTTCTGAGGGATGTACCGCTGGACTCTGTGGAATGGGCTGAGGTGGCAATCAACGTCAACACTATTCTCAAGGTGCGGCCTGACCTGGATGGTGTCAGCCAGCTAGGAGCCCAGAGCTGGGAGAGGAAGAAATGGCTTCCTTAGTCCTGCTCTGAATTGCTAGTAATTTAGAAGGGCTTAGCCATTTGTTAACTCCAAAAAGTTGGAGAAATGTTAATTTTATTAATCACCTAACCAATATTTTGAATGTTTGCTTTCTGCAAATTATACATTTCTGTGATCTTGAGTTTCTGTTTGGTAGAATAAACCTTTTATTTAGAGAGGCATGTTTCTATCATTAGAAAAGTATTAGTGTTTATGCCTCTCTTCCTGTCTCTTTTGCTCTGCTGCCCAGGCTGGCCTTGAGTTCCTGGGCTCAAGCAATCCTTCCACCTTCCACCTCAGACTCCCAAGTGCTTATAGGCCTGTGCCACTGTCTTGGTTACTTTTCTCTCGTTGCTGAGACAAAATACCTGACACCCAAAATTAAGGAGAGATTTGTCTAGCTCACAGTTTGTGGAGGTTTCAGTCCATACTCAGCTGGCTCCAAGGCAGAGTGGCACATGGCAGAGGGCAACAGTTCATGGCAGCTGGAAAACAGCAAAAGCAGCAAGAGCAAAAGTGAGGAGCAGCAGAGAGCAAGCCTGTTTGCCTCCCTTGTATTGTATGCAGGCTACCTGCCCCAGGGCGGGTGTAGCGCTCACACCCATAATCCCTGCATTGGATCATGAATTAATCACAAACTCTAAAAGCCCACCCCATGACTGCATGAGGCTTTGGGGGGACATCCAGACACAAACCATAACAGCCACCATGCCAAGCTTCTAGTTCTTAATTACTGAAAACTTGCTTTTACATTATTAAAATGCGATGTTTGATTTTAGCATTTGGACCTCATAGTTCTGGTTTTCTTGCTTTGGTTGTTATACCTTTCCAAAATTGAAGTCAGAATGTGGAATAAAATAAATTTCAGAAGCAGGAAGAACCAAACAATGCTGAATATTTTCCTTATCAGTAGGCTTTGGGTTTCAGATTGTCTTCAGGAACGTGGTGATCCATTGCATCACACTTGTGTGAGATAATACATTTCATTTTCCCAGGATATACTGCAAGCTGCTAGTCACTATCGCCAAAACAGAAGCTCCTTGTATAGAAGAGAAGAATCACCAAGAAAAGAGCCTGAGTACATTCCATGGACAGGTAATAGACTGTTGTGTTAAGAGTCTTTCCAAGAAGAGTTCTAATGGCCCATCATTGTTTGGAAGTTATTACTTCCCTAGTGCAGGTTTGTGAGTGAAATGAGAAAAAACTAAAGTGTCATCTCCAAAGTGAGCAGTTCTTTTCCATATCACTTTAGTCCTTTGGCTACATGTGTAGAGTTCCCTATTTGACTGATACTTATTAGGCACCTACTAGGTTTAATACAAATAGTAGAAGCAGATCTTGACCCTAGAGGAATGGGCTATTTATTATGTTGATTTAAGGTCACAAAGTAAGTGGGGTAACATTGAAGGAAATTAGCAGGAAGGATCCTGCTTACCTGATTGAACTGAGAAAATCTCCACAGAGAAGAAGGGTTTAAGCAGGGCAGGCAGGGTCACCTGACCACTAAGTTAGCTTTCAGTAGCAGTGAAGAGACAATTTTTAGGCATTCGATCTTCTCCCCATCCATCATGGAACCCTTGCTTACTGAGTTATCCTGTGTGACTTCACAGCTACAGGCAGTCCTGCAGGCATCCGAACAGCAATCATCCGTCAGCATGGGGTCATCCTGAAGACAGTTTACCCACAGGTGGACAGCCACCTCCGGAACACCTTGACAGAGCAGCTGGTCGCGCTGATTGACTGCTTCCTGGATGGTTATGTTTCACAGTTGAAGTCCCTGGACAAGTCTAGTGATCAAGAAAGATATGACAACCTAGAAATGGAATACCTGCAGAGAAGATCAGAACTCTTGTCTGCTCTACGTAAGTGCATGATATTTAGCAAGGGCTGCAGGGCTGTGAGTTTGCAGAATGCATGAAGGGGTTAGCTGGCTAAAGTTGTGTAGTCACTGTAGCAGAAGTAATCCAACCCTAGCCAAAGAAGCAAACAGGTACGGCTTTGTGTTCCTGTATTAAGTCTTTTTTTCAGTACTTACTGGATACTAAAAAAGGAATAAATTAACCTGGACAGACTTCCCCTGAGAGCCCAGCGTCATTGGCCTTTCATGAATAAGCAGAGTCTGGTAAGGGCTGGCAGAGGGTATAGGTGGCATGGTGTAGTCGCAAAGGCACATTCCTCTCCAGGCCAGGCTCAGGGACACAGAAGAAGAGCATTATGGCTTGGCATCCGTGATGAAGCAGTAGACGGTCTTGGCATCTTTACCAGGTGTATGTGAGTGTGAAGCAAAGTGCTGGTCCCTAGGAAGCTTCCCTTCCATTAATTACTCTTAGTATATAATGTGAATAAGGGTAAAATTTCAAGTGATATTTTCTATTACATACTTAAGTTTTTCTAACAGAATTTTTTTCATTGGTTCTCATTTCCAGTCACACTAGGCCAATACCCTTGTGCTGCTTCACTAGCGGAGAAGTACTGTGACTTTGACATCTTGGTACAGATGTGCGAGCAAATGGACAACCAGACCAGACTGCAGCGCTACATGACCCAGTTTGCTGATCAGGTCAGGACACTGGGTGCGTGGGCGGCAGGTCATGCTGTGGTGAGGTTTTGCCTCTTGCTGGGGCTTTGGGAATGGAACACCATTTTTTGGTAGTTAATGTACATTAGAAGATGCACATGTCCACATTATATTTAAGTTGGCAAATGATTCTGTATGTGTAGATATTACTGAGAGGTTCTCTGGCCTTTGCAAAATGCTAACCCTTTCCGTTCTGTTCTTATTTAATCATGATGACAGCACTCATACACGGGAACATGGGAGATGTCTTGGGTTTGAACCGAGAACTGAGGAGCAGAGGATGCTGCTCATAAAGAGCTCAGATTTGCACACACCTACAACTCCTTATTCCTCAAGGTGGATATCACTTCAGGTTTTTATTTTATTTTTTCATTTTTTTGGATTTTTTTTTTTTTTTTTTTTTCTTAGATAAGGTCTTGTTCTGTAACCCAGGGTGGCCTCGAATTCATGGTGATCCTCTTGCCTCAGCCTCCCAAGATTACAGGTGTGCCACCATGCCCAGCAAGATTTTTAAATGAAGTTCCCATTTTGGCACTGTTGGGGTGATTTAGATTTTTCCTTAAGCCCATTTTGTTCAGTGAGTTGATTATGTAAAAGGAGATTTTATTTTTCTACTGAGAAAATAATACTAAGCTCATCATTCCAATACCCAGAAGGAAGCCTTCTAAATACTGGATTTATATGCTTCCAGTTTTCTACTCTGTATCATAAATAAGCATTTGTCAACTGCTTTTTTTTACATAGTACATCTCAGATTTGTGTCTGTATCATTAAATAGTCCACAGCAATATTGTTTTTTTTGATGCTGGGAATCAAACTCAGCACCTTGTGCTTGCCAGGCAGGCGCTGTAACCCCCGCCTGTTGTTATTTTTGAGATAGGATCTCAGTGTAGTTTAGGCTGGCCTTGGTTTCACTTTGTAATCCTGGCTGGTAATCATGGTGATCCTCCTGCCTCAGCTTTTTGAGTGCTGGGGTCATGTGTGCCATCACATCTGGTTACAGCAACATCATTAGTAGCACGACAGTTTTTTGTTGACTGGTTTCATGTACCTGGTTGTTAGGACTAACTTATCCAGTATTCCACAGTAGTACTGAACTGCATACTTGATACTTATCATGATTTTTAGTTTTTTTAAAGGTTCTAGTGATATATTCTTTCCACTTTTGTATACTTTTTCTCTTTACCAGGTTTAATAGTTATTTTTGTGCTAACATCACACATTGTGGGTCTGCCTTGGTTGCCTTTTTTTTTTTTTTTTTTTGCCTTTTGAGACAGAGTCTTGCCATGTAGCCCAGGCTGGGCTCAAACTCAATCCTGCCTCAGCCTCCTGAGCATTGGAATTACAGGCATGCACCACCCTATGTATGCTGCATAATAGGGTTTTCTGCTTCTTACATGTCATAATTTTTAGATTATGTTTTGGATGTTATATATTAAAAACACTGTGAGAATGGAAATGGATGTTCTTTTCCTCCTAAGAGGGTCCCCTTTCCTCTCCCTCAGACAGGTGGGGTGAGAGGTAGATCACTTGTGCATCAGGAATGGAGGTGGGCCAGCACTTGTGTCAGCTTTCTCACACGCTTACCTCAGGTCTTTCGAGGAAGTTGCTGTGTTCCTAGTAGGATCCCTGCATTGGTGCGTGTATTTCCTAAATGCAGATTGCAGGGCTTCTTGGCCTTCTTCTCTAGCCCCACCTTCAGCAGCAGCCCAATGCTCAGCGTGGGTCCTGAAGGGCCTCCTGGGATTCCCATGTATCAGCCAGTGCACACGGTGGGCTCCACAGCACCGCCCTGGAGGTCCCTTGTTCTGAGCCATCTTGGGCTCGGTGCTGTCCAGTAGACGGAGATGTTGCTTATGTGTTGTCCAAAAGGAAGAGGTGCTGCCCACATGTGACTATCAACCAGCTGAGAGGTCATTGTGCCTGAGGAGTTACTAGTTTAAATAACAACATGTAGCCTGAGGCTCACACACTGGCTGATGTAATCAGATTCTGCCATTAATGACCCTGACATCCTGAGCCAGAGTCCTTCTGAGCCTGAGGTGATTGAATTAGAACTATAGGAAAGTCGTTTCTTCCATGTGGGAATGTAGTCTAATAATATGTAACAATATATGTGTATTCCTATAACAGTGTAAGAAATTACTATTTGAAAGATTTCTATGTAGAGTCTTTGGAACATATTTAGTATTCTACTAATATGAAATGTATTTTTAAAAGATATATTACTAAATATTAATGGATTCTTGGTTCTGTTATTTGTAGAATTTTTCAGACTTTCTCTTCCGTTGGTATCTGGAAAAGGGAAAACGGGGCAAATTATTATCTCAGCCCTTGTCTCAACATGGACAGTTGGCAGATTTTTTGCAAGCTCATGAACACCTCAGCTGGTTACATGAAATTAGTAATAAAGAATTAATAAAGGTAAGAAAGATTCGGTTACGTGAAGCTGATAGGTACAATTTAAGTATTTGGTTTTTGGTAATTAAAATGTTATTTATACCTGTACATCTATAAAGGGTTAATACTAAACTATACAAAGAACTCAAGAAAATAGCCCAATTAAGAAATGAGCTAAGATCTGAGTAGATATTTTCTTTTTTTGTTTGTTTTTTTTCCCGGTATCGGGAACCAAACTCACGACCTTTCACTTGCCAGGCGGACCTTTCACTGTGCCACTGAGGTAAATCCCCAGCCCCAGAGTAGATATTTCTTAAAAGGTGAACAATGGCTGGGCGTGGTGGCACATGCCTGTAATCTCGGCACTTGGGAGACTGAGGCAGGAGGATTGCTGTGAGTTCGAGCCCAGCCTGTGCCACATAGTGAGTTCCAGACTGGCGTGAACTACACAGTGAGACCCTGCCTTAAAAAAACTAAAAAAGAAAGAAAAGTGAACAAATGGCCAGAAGAAGTTTTTCTCAATATCAGTAGTTACGATTATATAAAGTAAAGCTACCACAGATCTCACCTTACACCTGTCAGAACCGCTCTTACAAAAAAGGTGAATGATGACAAACATTGGTAAGGTTGCGGAAGAGAGGGAACACTTGCACACTACTGGTGTGAATGTAACTGAGTTCAGCCATTCGGGAAAACTGCATGGAGGTTCCACAAAAAGCTGGAAATAGAAATAACATCTGCCCCTGCAGTCTCACTTCTGGGAATGTGTCCAGATGATGTGAAGTTAGTGTTGAAGAGACCACTGCACACCCATGTCCCCTGTAGTGCCATTCATACTAGCCAGTATAAGGACTCAGGCTGAGTGTTAGGGAGTGAACACATAACCAAGAGGTATGTATACACATACACAGTGGAATACCGCTCAGCCTTTAAATGGAAGGAAATTCTGCCATTTGCAGCAACATAGGTGAAGCTAGAGGATGTTGTGCTCTGTGAAGTAGCCAAACACAAAGCTACATATGCTGCACGGTCTCAGTTACAGGTGGAATGTGAAATAGTCAGATTCAGAAGGTGGTTACAGAGGCGATAAGGGAGTGGAGATGCTGCTCCAAGGGCGGCGTTTCAGGTAGGGAGGAAGGTGGCTGTAGTTAATAATAGTGTCATGTATCTCAAACCTCCTTGAGTAAATTTCAGTTATTATCACCACAGAAAGGTCCTTCAGGTGGTAGGTGTTAACTAGTTTTATTTAATCATTCCACATTGTATGCTTTGGACTCCATACAAATACACAATTATAATATGACAACTGAAGTTTTCTTAAAGGGTTTAAGAGACACTGCTTATAGATTATCAAAAATATGCATCTCCTCTCATTCTCTCCCATAATTTGAATAGGATATTCATGATTTATGGTAGTGTTTTATCACATATAATATCTCAGAAACAATATAGACCAATTTTTGCCTGGTATAAGATAAAGCACAAACATTTTCTAACATACAATAGTCCTTGGCCTTTTATTGGAAGGAATACATTCTTATATTAAAATACTCAGATTATGAGTAAAAACAGTAAAGAAACTACTTTTAAAGTGTATCCTTAGCTGGGCGTAGTGGCGCATGCCTGTAATCCCAGCACTCGGGAGGCTGAGGCAGGAGGATCATTGTGAGTTTGAGACCAGCCTGGGCTACAAAGTGAGCTCAAAGCCAGCCTGAACTGCATAGCAAGACCCTGTCTCAAAAAACGACCTAAAAATAAAGAAAGAAAGAAAGAAAGAAAGAAAGAAAGAAAGAAAGAAAGAAAGAAAGAAAGAGAGAGTGTTCTTGATGGGGTAACTGGCTAAATATGCAGTTGTTCTAGAACAGATGTCCTATGTGTGTCTTTTCCCCTTCATTAGCGTGTATAGTTGAGATTCTGTTGTGCGTTCACCCTCCGTGTCAAGTTTACTATCAGCAGTGTGACTTTGCTGATACAGCTTGGGGAGAAAAAGCAAGTTTGCGATGTACTTTCCTTTGGGGCTGTGTTGATACCCAGGATCTTGCAGTTTGCATGTTTTGTTTATTGTAGGCTCATGCAACGCTTCTGAGTTTGGCAAACATGGAAACTCGTTACTTTGCAAAGAAAAAAACCCTTCTTGGCTTGAGTAAATTGGCTGCATTAGCCTCAGACCTCTCAGAGGACGCGCTGCAAGAAAAAATCGAAGGTAAAACAGTTTGCACAGGAGGACCTATGACACAGTCAGGCCACCAGCTACCTCTCCTCATCTCTGCTGTAGGATGAATGGCCTTTATTCAATATCCATGCATAATTAATTGGCTATGTACTTGTGTTTTTTGTTTGGTTGGGTTGTTTGTTTGTTCGGTTTGTTTTGAGACAGGGTCTCACTAATTTGTTCAGGGTTGCCTAGAACTTGTGATCTTCCTGCCTCAGCCTCCTGAGTAGCTGGCATTACAGGCATGTGGGATAGAGAATTTTATAATATATATTTTTGTTTCTATATACTTTATATATATATAAATATAGATATATATTTTAAAGAGAAAACCAATTTGTATTGTAAATAATTCCTAAAGAATAAATGGAAATTATTTTCATTAGGCAGTTAGTATTCTGTTATAAGAACTGCAAAGAATTCCTGACCTTCAACACAGGGGGCTGTTGTAGGTATTGGTATTGGTGCAGTAATCCTGAAAATACTATATAAATAGAGAAAATAATTAAATATAGTTCTGTTTTGAGATCCTAGGGGAAGGGAGTTGCAAATATAGAAGAAAACAGAGGAGAACCCTGTTACGCTTTTGAATTGGAGATAATCAGATAGATAGAATCTGATTTTTTTCTTTCCTTTTTGTAGTATGAGGGACAGACCCCAGGGCCTTCACATTAAACTACATCTTCAGCCCCAGCCCACTTCTATTTCTTATTTTGAGATGGAGTCTTGCGAAGTTGTCGAGGCAGGGCTCAAATTTATGATCCTCCTGTCTTAGTTGGGGTTACAGCATGGTGCCACGATGCCTGGTAGAATCTGAATTTTTTTAAAAAGTTAGCTCTTTCTAGTGAAAGCGCCTGGCCTAATACCATGGGTACTGCTGCTGTTTGGTTTTTCACTACCACTTCTGCTGAAAGGGAATGAGCCCCATGGAAGAGATGTCTTTGGAGTCCTGTTGGGTCAGAAAGCAACATCGACATTGAGATGGTGAACACAAGAGCCTTGAATGACTCCCGCTGGCCAGGGGATGATATAATTTGAACAGCCGGAGTAAGGGTGCTGAAGGATTCTGTATCACAGGCTTTTTGTTTGTTTTCCTTTTGTCCGTACTGGGGACCAAACTCCAGGCCTCGCATATGCTAAGCAAGTGCGTTACCACTGAGTTCTACATTTCATAGTTTACAAAAGAAAAACCCATGAATCCACAGTGGTAATCAGAATAGGAAAGAGTCAGTGAAATCCTGTACAGAAGAATGACAATTAGTAAATGTGGACAGCTGTGGTGGGAGTTGCCATTTTGCGACCACAGTGAATAATGGGTCTTCAAAAGATGATAGAATAAGCCAGGCATGGTAATGCAAATGGATTGCAAGTTTGAGGCCAGCCTGGATAACATAGGGAGACCCTGTCTCACATATAAAAAAGATGCTAGAACCATGGCGTTTAGGACTGGAGGAGCAGATATTTCCATGTTTTTGGAGTATTAGTACACAGAACTAATGCACCAGAGCCAGTCTCAAGGCAGTTCCATATTTCATTCTTCTTGGAGAGAATAGGATGGCAGTATCCACAGTGACCATAGCACCTGCGCTATGCTTTTGTCAGTGTTTAGTGTGACTCCAGATCTAATCACAAGGGAACACTCAGATGCATTCTGATAGTGGAAGACAGGTGGCTTTATTTATTTATTTATTTTTCTTTCTGGTATCTGGAATTGAACTCACGACCTTGCGCTTGCCAGGCAGGCGCTGTGCTGTTGAGCTAAATCCCCAGCCCCAATGGGTGGTTTTAGATAAGTTTAAGAGCTAACTCACACATACACACGCGTGCATTTTGAGATTCTTGGTTGGATCTCAGATCAGCCTTCAAATGCCCAAAGCAACTATGATGAATATTATTGGGACAACTAGGAAAGTTTGGCTACGTTTGATTTAGGTGACAATATTTTACTCCAGGACTTGTTGTTCCTTGTTTTCCCAGATATCACTGGGGTCTTGGTCATCTGGCATCACTTAGCTTTTGCCTTTTTAGCACAGAGGAGTGTTTTCAGGTCACACTGACTCCCTGCAGACTGTTTTTTCAGTGTCCAATCACAGGGGAGAGGGCTTTTTATAATAACTTTTTTGGTTATGTGAATAATTGTAAACTGTAGAAAAAGATAAAACAGTGTGTATGTAGTCTCCTAGTCTGCTTTTCCAGGCATGAAAATACATAATTTCTTTTGGTACCGGGAATTGAATTCATGACCTTACACTGGCCAGGCAGGCACTTGTGCCACTGAGTTGTATCCCTGGCCCTATGAAAATGCATAAAAATGTTGTGTGTAACTTTTGTAAAATGGGGAGTGTGTGGAATGAGTGGGAATGCCTGTGCTTCAGCTACTTTGCTTGCTGTTACTGTGAATGTGAGGCTTTCGTGGTAGCTGGGCCTGCTCATGGGCAGAGGCAGGGTATAGTGCAGTGCAGTGAGCAGACGGTCTAGAACCTTGCCCTGTGGAGGTGACTCCTTCCAGGTAGTAGATTTGGTACCTATTTGCTGTGTGTGTGTGTGTGTGTGTGTGTGTGTGTGTGTGTGTAATGTCCTGTGGTGGCTTGAAATCCTTCCCTCTGAGTGAGACTGTGCTGCACACTTCACTGAGCTGCCCTCCAGTAGGGCAGAAACAGCTGAGCACTTTCCCTTTTCTCTCCCGTCCTCACTGCTCCTACTGGTGTGATGGTTCATATCATTTAAATCAGGTAAATGTTGTATGTTATACGTCTTGACAGCAGTCAAGAGGAAATTAGAAATGATAACATTCCAAAGTTATTAGGAAGCGGTCAGATTCCCTTAATAACTGTTTTTTAAACTCGTATTTGTTTCATAGCAGAGCACAAGTATAAGTCACATCATTCCCTTTTCTCTCCCTGAACTAGCCATGGCTGAGCAGGAGCGTTTCCTGCTGCACCAGGAGACCTTGCCCGAGCAGCTGCTGGCTGAGAGAGAGCTGAGCCTCAGCGCCATGCCAGTGCTGACTGCACCACAGCTCATCAGCGTAGGTGTTGCATCCTTGCCTGCTCCCACACCTTGTATAGCTCCTGGAGGAGCCCTTGTTCTGCTTTCTACCTTCCTAAGAACTTTTCCTAGAAGATGTGTTGGAAGCTGCTAGGAGAAGGAAGCTGGTTAGCTTCACCTCCCTGGATAGCTCTGCCGAGCCTCCCAGTGCTTCAGAGGCAGCCAGAAATTGCATGTAGTTTTTGCTTTCCTAGTACATAAAGGGAAGCATACACAGGGAGGCCCTGCTATCTCCCAGAATGCCATTCTTCAGTATCTTCTGTGAGCTCCAGGAACAGGCGCAGCTTGGCCTGCTGGTGCCCCCTCGCCTTTGCCTGGCAGGACTGTGCATGTACACCTTCACCTACTTGTCAGAAGGCACCTGACATGCTGGAGTAATGTTTAGGGGCACCTGACATTTGATCTGATTCTATAAAAAGAAAGCAAGCAATTGAATAACCTACAGCATTGGCCTTTGTTAGTAAGAGTTTCTGTAACTGAGCTCACAGCAGCCTCTCCTGATGGAGCATATTTAACTGAGAAATCTAAGGTATTGTTGATTATAGCTCATCATGACTTTAGGTATCACTGAAAGGGAAAAAGTAGTATTGATTTTATGTCAATATTCCATGAATTTTAATGCCACATTTCAATTTCAGAGGTTGTGGAGGTAAAAGGATGTTCAAAATACTGGTTTTAAATCATATAAGACAACAAAAATAAGCAGCTTTTTTCCTGAAATTATTTGCATATTGTTAGAGGATTTTAAATTATATTACAAGTAGTTATTGGAAGAAAGGAAAAATTCAAATTGATATTTTTAACAAGGCAAGTGATTTACTGATCAAAAAAAGAAATTACAGGAAATTTTAATTGGTCTGCAATCTCCCAAACAAGTGTACGGCAAAGGCTAAATAAAAAGAAGTGAATGGAATAATTTCAGGGCTCCAGGAGTATCAAAGCCCTCTCACAGAATTTGAGATTCTCTTGGGGCTAAGACCAAGATCTTCTCTGGGTGACCGTATTTATTTGTTATCAGAAGAAGGGAGGGGAGCACTCAAGAAGGGTGGAATTACTCAAGGACTTTTCCAAGTAAGGTATTCAGTTAATCCTCAATAAGAATTAAGTTAATCCACCCAGGAGTAAGATGCCTGAGGTTATATAGTCTTTAGCTAGTTGAGGGTGGATCCAGGTGTCCTTGGCTGTGATCTTGTCTTATCCTTTGAGGCTTTCTGGCTTGTCTACCATTTTAAGTTTTAGTAGGGATTAGTGACACAGAGGTTCACTTACTATGAGTCTGTCACCCACTTCCAGACAAGTGGCCTAGGCTTTGAACAGATTCATAAGTAAACATAAAAAGCCAATTAGTTAATTTAAGTCCTGCTCAGGGCTGCTTCACAGTGGTGTCCATCAAAATTTGAGAGGTATAGAAATGAGTGTGCAGTCAGCTGTCATCTAAGTAACCAAAAAAACCAACTTGCAAGTTGGCATGTCTTATTCTAAGTAATCTGTGGCATGCTGTACTAGGAGTTGCAGTTTTTAAAATCATTTATTTACAAGGGAAGCATTTCAAAACCATATAAATAGCCTTGAAAGTTCAAGGATGGCAATTTATTTCAGGTTACGTGCAAAAGAATGCTTGAATTGATATATTATCTTTTTGAGTCTAAGAATATAAATTTTCAAATATTTTAAAAGTATGTGCATCAAGTTATGTAAATTAATTTCTACTTTAGGATATGTTTTTTTTGTTTGTTTGTTTGTTTTTTGTTTTTTTCCCGGTACCGGGAACCGAACTCACTACCTTGCGCTTGCCAGGCAGGCGCTTTGCTGCTGAGCTAAATCCCCAGCCCCAAGGATATGTATTTTTTAAAAAAACAGTTTGTTATGAGGTAAATGAAATGTAGTTCACAAATGTGACATTGTTCTTGGCTATAAAAATACCCCCAGCTTAATAAAAAGACAGAACAACTCCCCCGTAAATTTCTCTAGTGTTAGTTCTGTGATTAATTAGAATAATTCTCTTCCTTACTGTGATTGGCCACAGCTGTACATCTGTGATGAAAATAGAAGAGCTAATGAATATGATTTTAAGAAAGCTTTGGACTTGCTGGAATATATTGATGAGGTAAGTGAACTCCCTTGATGATCTCAGGTAACTGAATATGTATAAGCAGAGGAGAAAATACTTCCTTTAGTCAGTCATGAAAATGTACTCATGAGAAAAGACTAATTTCTAGTTCAGTCACTCTTGTCTCTTAGAAGGTATCCAGCCCTTTAAAACAGCTACCAGGAGATTCTGATTCCTGATAATCTTCACACATTCCCAGGTGCCTTTTTCTGTGCACAAATAAAAAATGTGGGGACTTAGGGTATAAGTCAGTGGTGGAGTGCTTGCCTAGCATGTGCAAGGTCCTGAGTTCAATTCTAAGCACCACCTAGCTCCCTTTCCCCAAAAACATAGCTCTTCAAAGTCCTGAGTGTTTTTTTTTCTCATAGCATTCACCCTAAGAAAAGTTGATTCTCTAATTTTAAAAAATTGTAGTAGGAATTCTGTTGGGTAAGTAGTCGTTCTGTTACTTGATCATGCAATCAAAAGTTATTTGGAACATGATGAAAACAATACTTTTTTTTATAGCCTTGCTTAAAAATCTTAACCTCTCAAAGTTCTTGCTGAAGTCAGAATGTCCGAGAATACTGTAATCAGAACTTAATTCACATAGATACTGATTGGTTTATTTTTCTAAGTGGTACTGACAATTTAAAGGGAGTTTTTTAGTTACGAATTAAAACAAAGCAACAATGTTTATGTAAGATTAGGAGTTGACACAAATATTGAACATGTATTTCTCTTTTGAAGCTAAGATTTAATCAAGATGTTTTGTTCTACTCTGAAGGAAGAAGATGTGAATATAAATGACCTCAAAATGGAGATCCTTTGCAGAGCTCTGCAGAGGGATAAGTAAGTCTCTCGGCTGATCTAGTGTCCTGTGAAACAGCCGTGATACCACACACCAGATAGTTATACAAGTTTCTGGTTGTGTAGTAACACCATGTTATGAACATGTTAGCAGTTGCATTGGTAATCTGACATCTTAAATTCAGAATTGAACAATAACCTAAAGACTTAGAGGCACTGGTGTAATAAAATCAGTCTGGGTTTGTTTTTGTTTTTGCTGTGTTCTTTTGGTTTTGTTTTGGCAGTACTAAAGATTGGACCCAAGGAATGCTATGCTACAATCCCAGGTCTTTTCTTTTTTTGTTGAAACAGTCTTGCTAAGATGCCCAGGCTGGCCTTGAACTTGTAGTCCTCCTGCCTCAGCCTCCCGAATAGCTGGGTTTACAGGTGTGAGCCACCATGCCCACCTAAGTCATTGCTTTTTGTATTATCATTTAGACTGTCGGTTTATACAGAAATTACAGTCCTTCTTCACAGAAGTTGAATCTGTTGTGTCAGCCAAGACTCAAAGCTATATTTTGTTTTTTAAATAAAAAGTGATTGCATTTTAAGGGTCAGTACCTTCTTTTTGTTGTTGTTGTTTTTGTTTTTTGTTTCTTTGAGACAAGGTCTCAATATGTAGTTTGGGCTGGCTTTGAACTTAACTATGTAGCTGAGCTGGCCTTGAACTCAAGGTGATCCTCCTGCCTCAGCCTCTCGAGTGGGAATTTCAGGAATGCACCACTATACCCAGCTAGCATCTTCTGAGTCTTTGAGTAACCACCTTTTCCTCACAACCCTCTCCTTTCTGTAAAGGAGCATTTCTTGTATGTGTTCAGTGGCAAAGAACCTAGGACTGCCCTTCGGTGGGGATGGGTGCCCAAGGGAAAGTGGGAGGATGAGCCTTATGCTGAGCAGCTCCTCTGCAGGTTTGCTTTCCCACGGTGGTGAGAATGAGGGTCCCTTTTACCAAAGTGCTTAGTCTCCTCAACCACTCTCCCAGTTAAGAGTTGTTGGGGGCCTGGTCTCTATATCCCTCTCTCAAGTGCCTGCTCTGGGCACCTTTGGTTTGTTGATCCTGTTCTGGTCATTCTGGCTGGCGACCATTGCCCTGGCTTTGTGTGTGAACGTTTTCGCATATGTTGTGCCTTATGTACACTGGGTACACAAGATCAGATGCTTGGCAGGGATGTTGGTGAATAGCTGTCGGAGTGCGGTTTGCATGTATACAGAAATGGAAGTGTTTCCAACATTTAAAGTCCTTTATTTAGAGATTTTAACCCAGATGAAACCTCAGTATCAAACAAAAGTCATTTATCTCCTCTTAAGTCCATGACTTCATTTCCCTCATGGTGATTTTTTTTTTCTAGCTGGTCTAGCTCAGATGGGAAAGGTGATCCAATTGAAGAGTCTAAAGGCAGTATATTTGTGAAAATCTTACAGAAACTTTTAAAAGATGGTAAGTGGTTTGTTACTATCAGAAATTACAATATTCTGAATTTTAGAAATCTTAAAACATTCAGTGTTTGTCAAGGTATCAAATGATGAAGCAATTTCCTACTCAAAATCAGAGATTAGTTTACAATAAAAGAAAGGCTTTTTTCTCTGTTCTCTGCACTTGGAAGAACACTTGTCAGGGTAAAAGTTATCCACGCACACACTTTGGGGTTCCTTGTGGCCATCCATGGGCACGGTGTGATTCCAAGAGTCTATACTGGGGGAACTAATCATTTCCTTTAACTTTTCAGTCAACTCTTGTGGAGACTGAAAACTTGAAGTGAGGTATAAACGTTTTTGGTATATTCCCTTCTGAACTGACCATATTGTGCTTAACAACAAATGTAAGGTGTTTGCATAAATCCGTTTTAGACACTAAGGCTCTAATTTAGAGACAAAAAGAAACAAGAAGGGACTGTGTTTTATGGGTGTTTTGTACTAAGCCAATAAACAGGATTTCATTTGCTGATGAAGACAGGAGTAGGTGCAGAGGCTGCCTTGGGTAAAGCGCTCATTGTCGCGGGAAAGGTGAATTTGAGAAGGTAGAGTGACTGTTTTTCACCAACTGGGAATTGGAAGTGTGGAGAATGTCGGACAAGATGGGAGAGACTTTGCACATTTTATACATGAAAATAAGTATTATAGGATTATTAAAATACAGGTTGCCAAAATCCATGCAGTGTGTAGAAGAGGCTAACCTGGAGTGGACCTATCTTTCCAACTGCTCGGACGCTCTTTTTTGTCCATTTGCAAGAAATACAGTGACAAAAGCTGCTGTCGGCCCTGTAGCCCTTTTGAGTGAACAAGGATGATACTCATCAGGGCAGCATTTACACACTCTGCATGCCTTCTGTGCATACATTCTCAGAATACATTATTATTTAATCTGTGCAGAACACTGCCGGCCGACTGCCTGGCATACTGTCATTGCTATAAACATTTGTTGTTTGTGTGTAGAATGCTATGCTACAACCACAGATCCATGGCCTGGCCCTTGCCATGGCCTGGCCCTTGTAAGCTTCCTTCCACTTCCCATCTTCACCCTGTGTCAGCTGACCTGCCCTTCCGGAAGTCTTCATCCATACCAGGTGAAGCACGGGAGCAGCCACACCCTGGGTGGAGGACACACTCTCATTTCAGAGCTTATCCAGTTTTAATATCTGTACTGCCAAAGTGAGCGTGATTTCAGAGCTTAACCACAGTGACTGCCTGGCACTACTTTCTGAGGTTTAGTTTCCCTTATAGCAGATTCAGCATAAATATAGTTCTCACTGAGTACTGGAACTTGTTCAGAATTGGACTGGACTTTACTTACAGAGAACACATACAGTGGTACCTGGCTTCATGAACTTAATTTTTTTTCTATAATTTTGGAAAAGATGGCCATACTTGTGTTTTGTAGGAAAGATGGCTCGGGTGGTGGTCGTGGTTGTGTTTGTCATCCAGTGCAGAGTTTGCAAACAAAAACAGAATTTTGCAAAACACTTCTTTTTGCAAACCAGATGGTTTACAAACACAAGCACTCATTAACTGACAGAGGAACCACTGCACTGGAAAGGATGCTTAATGATGACTTCTGATTTCAAAGAGAAGTAAAGAATCAGAATGTCAACTAAACCTTTTTCACTGTCAAAAAAAATAAAAAATTTAAAATAAAGAGATGTAGCAAAAGGAAGTACCTTTCCCTTGAAATTCAGAAAGAGATAAAATGTATCTGTAATATTAGCCAGTGAAGAGCCAGCAGGATGTGGTGCTCTCTGCACTCGTCAGCACTGCTGTCCCGCGGAGCCTGGCGGCTCTGGAAAGCAATGGGTCTCATCTGATGCTGCCCGTCAGGTAGGTTCCTCTAAAGTGCACAGCACTGAGTTGTGCTTAAGTCGTCAGCACTGTTTCTTAAGGACCACTGCAGTGTTTGCTGTTCTTAGTAGATGTTATTTTGAGACAAGCTCTTGCTTCGTAGCCCAGACTGGCCTTGAACTTGCACTCCTTCTGCCTCAGTCTCCTGAGTGCTGGGATGACAAACGTGCCAGGTTTATTCTTAGCAAGACTGCCTCAAAATAAAAAAGGCTGGAAGTGCAGCTCAGTGCTCCCTGGCTTCTATCCCCATCACCAGGGTGGGGGTGACACCCAGTGGTTTTGCACACTGGCCAGGTCCTTGCAGGCCTCCGTCAGCTGGGTCAGGGGCCAAGCTTCTCAGGACCTGCAGCCATCCTCCCTCCCTATCGCTGTTGTCTGCCATATGTGTGAGCTTTTGAGCTTCCACCCTGCTCCAGAGAAGAGAAATAACCATCTGGTACTAGGTCTCAACAGAAGGCATGCCCCTTACAAGTGAAATAAGAGCTATTTCTAGAGAATTGGTCTTTTAAAAGCTAAGCCCAGTGTGGTAGCGCATACCTGTAATCCCAGCACTGAGGAGCCTGAGGCAGGAGTATCCCCGTGAGTTTGAGGCCAGCCTGGCCTACATAATAAGACCCTGTCTTGAAGAAACAAAAAACAAAAAAAACTAAAAATTTTTTAAAAAGGGTAATGCAACTTTATACAGAAAAGAATCTTTCTTAAAATAATGTTAATCATAATAAGTGATATACAAATGATTCAGATTTAGCCTCATAACATTTATTAACCCAAGTTTTTATTCTATAACAAGTACAGAAATGCCCTAGACACTTCAAGGGTATTTTTTTAAGAGCTAGTATTTGGTGTTGAGAACCTGATAATGTAACAAATTATATTATTATCTTAGTAATTTAAAATTTCATCCAATTTTGTTAAATTAGAAAATTGTCCGTGCTTTTGTTAATTTCACAGGCCTCAACTTAAACAGCCCGTTCACCTGGTGGTCCTTGGCTTTCCAGCTGTATAGGTGGCTGCCTGCCCTGTTGACTTCAGCTGAGATACTAGAGCCAGCTCTTCAGACAGCATTTCTTCTAAATTCTTACCTAGATCAAAGAATATATAATTATTCAATATACTTGTTTTTAAGTGATGTAGTTTAAAGCTTCTACATTGAAGATGGGTCTTAAACTGTAGGAGAAAATGAAGATCTTCAGAGCCTACTGAAGACTTTACATGGATGGGTTTGGAGCAGTGGGAAGGTCTGCAGCAGAGGCTGTGTCTAGACTTGAGAGCAGATGCAGGGAGTGGAGGAGAGCATTTCCCTGCAGCAGAGTGCATTATATCATAAACAGGAGCACAGGTGCTTTATGATCAGTCATTTTTTTTTCGTCTTTTTGAGTCAGGGTCTCCCTATGCATTTCAGGCTGGCCTTGAGCTCACTTTGTAGCCCAGGCTGGCCTCAAACTCGCAGCCATCCTCAGCCTCCCGAGTGCTGGGATTACAGTTGTGCGCCACCACTCCTGGCTTGATCAGTCATTTTAATTTACTCAAGAGTTTTGCAAAAATAAAAATCCCTGTGTTTATATTTGCAGGCATTCAGCTCAGTGACTACTTGCCGGAAGTGAATGACCTGCTGCAAGCTGATCAACTGGGAAGCCTCAAGTCCAACCCATACTTTGAGTTTGTTTTGAAAGCAAATTATGAGTATTATGTCCAGGGGCAAATGTAATTTTTTGTAGAAGTAGAATTGTTTCTAAAAGTTCTTAAGTGTCCGCTTGTAAAAATTTTAGGCCTTAAACAACTAGAAGTTTTTGTACCATTTTATAAAGTTTGCAGGTAAGGGTTTTTTTTGGTTTGTTTGATTTTTGTTTGTTTGGTACTTGGAAGCTAATATTTAAATAGTTATGTAACTATAATTTTGGCTTTTGGTTACATGAATTTTTTTCCTCCTTTTCGCCAGCTGAATTTTGTCAGCTGTTATTAAACTTGATGCCCTTTCTAATTCACTTCGTCCAGTGGGGCTGTACTTCTTGTCCTGGTTCTGGCTGTTGGTGTGTACAAATCACTTCTAGGTCTCAAAATGTTCTTGTAATTTTGGAAAATTATGAGATTGCTCAAGATGGTCTCTGAAGTTGCTGTGACACTGGGTGTTGTATGCTGATCTGGGGCACTTGACATCTGTTTAGCTCAGGGCCAGTGGGAAATACCTGTCTAGCAAGATAAATGTCAGATTTAACTGGCCTCTTATAAGACAAAAGAAACAAAGCAGAATGGGGCTAATTCTTGTGGGCTTGATAACTGATTAACTTTCCTACATAAATAACGAATGGTACTAATAGAAGCACTTTAATGCTTAAAGTATGCATGTGGCTTCTCACCTACCCATAACTGTCCTTAATCGTACAGCACCGTGTGAGTTACAGTCTCTCAGTCCTGGGGTTCCCTTCAGGCCCAGTGTATTTTCACAATTTTTGCTGAGTTCTAGTTTCACCACAGTTGGCCCTAGTCACAAGCATATGTAATGCTAGAAACTGCTGTGGATTTTCCTAATATGGGCACTGAAAAGTGTTGTTCTCTTAAAACTTACTTGTCCTAAGCAATCATCACTCTGTTATCTGGCTTTCAATAAAAAGATTAGCCAGGACCACACCTGGCATATCCACACTTTGGCCAAAGCCAGTGATTACTAACTACCTTACTCAGACAGCCGGGAAGGTCAGAAATTAAACTTGGTGATTTGCCTGGCTTCTGAGCCCTCCCCTGGTGCCCTCTTACCTGGAGCTTCCAGTCCAGCTTTTGACTTATTTGGAAGAATAGACTAATAGAGCTGTTTATCTTGACCAAAAAAGGAAGTTAGCAGCCAGGGCCTTGACTTGTTTGGAAGACTATGTTAATAGAGCTGTTTCTCTTAACCAAAGAAGGAATTGAGGAGCTGGGTCTTCTGTTCATCAAAGAATTATGTATGACTTTGCATAAATCAAGGACTATGGTGACTGCTGGTAACACATGACAGATTCCTTTGGGCACAGCTGAGTTCCATTGGGCCCTTGAGTGACAGCATCAAGGTGTTGCCCTTGACTCTGAGCAAAGGGAAGGCAGCAGTAGGCATGAGCTGACTTGAGACGCTTGGTGGTGACTCTTTAGAGCCTTGAGAGACATGGGCCCTGATCCTGTGTGGAGCTGAGACAAGCCTTAAGGACTGGAAGGTGTTTCTCCTCTTACCAGGGCTCTGGGCCTTGGCGGGGGTGGGGTGGGGATGGGGTGTCTCTAAGAACAGGCTGTGGTCTGCAAGGCCGACTCACTGACTTTGCGTCCTGCTGGTTGAAGCCTCCTCAGAAACACCTAGGCCTTACCACCTATTCCTGGGTGTTCTGTCCTGGTAACACCTGAAGAGAAGTAAGTTGCATATTCATGTGTAAAATACCACTCATTAAATACCAAAGTACATTCTAAGAAGTAGTATTATGTTTAAGAAGAGGAGAAAACGAAAAACGTGTTACTAAAGCATTTGGAATAAAATAGACCCTGTTAACTCCACCACCACCACCGCCACCCCCCACCGCCACAAAACTCTGGTTCCTGTTTGAAATGTATCTTAGAATGTTTTGGATTGTATGTACTTTTTCATTTTGTAACTCGTTTTCTTCCTGAGCTATTGTGAGCACTTTTCTGCTTAATATCCCAGAGTTTTTCAACCTTTTTCCCATTATTGCCCCTCCAAAGGAGCCCTTTTGGGTAGTTTTCCCAGTTGCCTCCCAACCCAGTGAAAGTTCAACAGCAGCATCTACTGTGTCTTTATGTACCATGACTTTTGAGGGGTGCAAATAAATGTAAAGGTTTTTTTTTTTTTTATTTCCTAAGAACCAGTTGTTTCCCTCTTTGACAATGAGTGGGTTGTTTTTGAATGAATGTTTTAAATATTTTTCAGGATATAATGTTTTGATGACTGCCTGACACTATTGCATGGCTGTGCTATAATTTATAGCTCATGCTCAAAAATTAAAATGGAGATTATTGAACATTGTGAAGTTTGCCATTTTAAATAATTTTAAATAAACTTGGGCATTCCAAGAACATAGAAAGTTATCCTATGGGACCTGGGGTATATATAGCTCAGTGGCATAAGCCCTTGCCTGGTAAACCTGAGGTTATGAGTTCAATTCCCAGTACCAAAAAAAAAGAAAGTTGTCCTAGCCTTGCCTGTTCACTTGTGAGGTGTCATTCACCTGTCCAGCACTCAGCCTCACTCCTGCAGGCCCCTCTTTGTCTAAAGAAGGGCCAGCTGTGGGCTCAGTGTGCCTCGGGTCCGGGCATTTACTGAGAATTGATCTCAAATCTTGAATCAGTCTCTTTTTTGGAAAAGGTGTCAGAGTGAACTCACTATGTAGCCCAGGCTGGCCTTGAAGCAGTGACCCTTCTGCCTCAGCCTCCTGAGTTCTGGGAGTAGTTTCAGGCATGCACCACCATGCTTAGCTTCAGATCAGTCTTACGGAGCAGGTATAACCCAGCTGAGAATGCAGAACCTTCTGGAGTTGCCTTGCCCAGAGTCATGCAGCAGTTTGGTGGGTAGGGGGCCCACTCTGCCTGAACTCTCACTCCATGGGCGGGAGCAGCCGGCCTCCTGTGGTCCTTTCTCAGTTGGTAGTTGCCTATGAAGACATTACTTTGCATTTCAAGATGGCTTCCACTCCTTTGGAGAAGATCCCTTAAGGATCTGTTACACTTGAGAATCACTGGATTACAGAGGATGAGAGAAAGCCTGCCATAGAGTTTTACAAGTTTGTGTTTAAATTGGTAGGAAATACTGGAGAGGCCAAGCCAGCAAGCTGTGAGGAGTGAGGGGATACGGGGAGAAGGGAAGCGAGCACTCAGGAGGTAGGGTACAAGCCAGGCTGCACTGATGCCTGGAGCTGGTGCCTCGCCCTCTCCAGAGTGGGAGTCGGGGAGGCCCGGGTGATCCCAGGCACTGCAAGCCAACACATCCGTCACGTGGCAGAGGGGGATGTCTGAGACGCTGGCCACCTGCTGTGTGCAGTGCTTGTACCAGCAGGCCACCCATAGCTTTGGACACTTGGTTCATAGCTTTTAGGGGGCTTGAGTCTAATAGACTCTGAGCTCAGCCCTGTCCAGGAGCAGGGAAACACAGCACAAGAGTTTTGAGCAGTATCCGCAGGTTGTCCCCACAAGGTGTCCAGTGGGTGACCCTGCTCTCTTTCCTGCCTCCAGAGCCCAGGTGTAAGTCTATTGCACGTTGCACTTGCTTATTTTTCTCAACGTTTCCACTACCCATGACGTAGGAGGGTGCCTGGTGTTGAGGGGAAACAGTTCCATCCCTTAGTCCCTCGTTCCCTAACATAGTTGGAAAGCTACATATGAAACGACTGGAGGTTTTGGCTCCTTCTGCTTGCTGTGTCGACTCTGCTGACCCCGCTTTGGTCATTTCAGGGAGAGCTGGGTGGTGTGGGCTGCAGAGTGGGGTCAGTGCCCTTCATACCCTCCTTTTAGAGAAACTACACCTGTCTCCCGCTCAGTTCCACTACCAAATGTGAATTGTAACTATTTTTGGGAACACTTAAGACATCAGAAAAACAAATGACATCCCTGGGCACCCCATAAAGCGTGTCACCAAGTTTGTCACAGAAGACAGAAGTTCTGTGCCTTCTTGCCCCCACATTCTACCCCCAAATTGAGAGGTGCTGGCAGAATGGCCTCCACTGACCCCACTCTTTTACTATAAGGAGATCCAGGTCCCTAGAAGCCCGAAAGGCAGGAAGGCAGATCCCCATGTATCCGTGGTATAAATAGAAGCTGCGCAGGCCCTGGCAGGTGGTGACTCCAAGGTGGACTGGGAGCAGCCTGGCCCACGGCATCATCCTCTAAATATAAAGACAAGTTTGCAGGAGGAGCCACTGCCCTGATAGAATGCACAGTCTCGGTCCTCAGTAAGGACACCGCCTCGCCTTCCCATCACCCACTGCCACCACCACGTCCAGGCCCAGCCAGCTCCAGGAGAGGGACATACTCAGTACCCCCAAGCAGGCGGGGTGGGGGCTGCTAATGGCCCAGCCAACCTGGCAGTCGGCAGCTGCTCGTGGGGGAAGGGACTCCCACCTGACTCCCTCCCTTCAGGACCTCCAAGCATCCTGCAGCACTGAGGGCACAGCCCGGGGGCCCTGATGGCCAGAGCCTCCACTGCCTGTGGCGGAACCCCCAGCCTCTTCTCCCCCCACCCCCACACCAGTTGTCTGCCCAGTGACAGCTGTGTGCCCTCCGGCTGCCTGTGGCCTCCCAGATGGGGGAGGGGCCAATTTGGGTCAGAACTCTGGCTTGAGAAGCTAGAATGGAGAGGGAGAAGTGGGGTTCATGCTTTCCCTCCTGCCCTGCCAGTGTCCGGTGACTACACCCTCCCAGCCCAGCTGTCCCCACAGGGGCTGTGTGCTAGGCGGGGGGCTGAGGAAAGGACCCCAGAGATGGGGTGACTGTGGGGGGCCCATGGTCAGGCACCATTGGAGCGCCTGGGTGCATAGGAGGGGTGGAATGGGGAGACCTTTGCAACAGGTGCAGCTCCAAGCTGGGTGCATACGGTGAACCTTGCCCCGCCCCACCTCAGGCGGCCGGGAGGGGCAGGTCTACTGGGGAGACACTCCATATACGGCCTGGTCTCTCTTACCTGGGCTAGGGCCAGCCTGCTCCTTCTTTGGTCTGCCTAGGGGACCCAGGCAGGGCCCAGGCCAGGAACCAGCTGAAGGAGGGGACTTGTGCCGACACCCAAATATGGCTCTAAAGGGCAGCAACATTCCTGCGGGGCAGCGTGGGGGGAGTGCCCAAGGGCTATATAAAAACCTGAGCTGGGGACAAGTGGTCACCACAGCGGACAGCCACCCTCCCACGGCAGCCGGCCGAGCCAGAGAGCAGCAGGTGTAACCACCCACCCAGGTAGGGTTGCAGGTGGAAGAGCACAGGGGGCAAGACCCTAAGTGGGATCCCAGGGACATGGGCAGAGCCCAGCTGGGTAGCCATAGGCCTGTACCCTGCACTGTCCCCCTTCATAGGTCCTTTAAAGAGGAGACCATGGGGTCTGGAAATGTCTCCCTCCAGACTGACTTTGAGCCCATCGGGCTGCTCCCCTGGCATTTAGGATGTGCACAGGGAGATGTGGTCAGAAAGTCACTGTAGCCTCCATCTTCTGGAGAGCAGCTGCCTCCCTACTGCAGTCCTGAGCAGCAAATGCACCCCTCTTTGGTATCACAGACAGGACAAAGAGTCCCTTCTGAGTCTGAATATCCAGAGTGTCCCACAGCTCTTCCACTGGCAGCTCCTGCTCACTCTGGCCAGGAAAGCAGATGGAGTCTTAATCCCTCTGTGACAGATGAGGCCTCTTGGGCAGAGGACAGACACTAGACTAACTGGCGAACAGGTGGCTTGCTGTGAAGGCAGAGCCCTCTGGGGATACTGTCCTCTCAGTACAAAGCTGGAGGACTTCCCAGTGTGGCCTCTACACCCTGTGCCTTCCTCCTCAGCAGCACAGCCCTGAGCTGGGTGAGGGTCCTCCGTGCCCCTCTGCTGATGGATGCAGGAGGCTCAAGCTGCAGGTGTCCCTGGGTCTCTGGGGAGGGCGGGCCTGTGGCAGGCAGGCAGAAGCACCTGTGGACTGCTTTGTGTCACCACTGTAGCCCTGTCCTTGCTCCTTGCAGAAACCAGACACCATGTGTGATGAAGACGAGACCACCGCTCTTGTGTGCGACAATGGCTCCGGCCTGGTGAAAGCTGGCTTTGCCGGCGATGATGCCCCCAGGGCTGTGTTCCCCTCCATCGTGGGCCGCCCTCGACACCAGGTCAGGCGGCAGCGTCGATCAGCAGAGGGAGCCAGGCAGTTTCACGCCTAGTGCTGGCGCGTGTTGCCTGCAGCTGCGGTGATCAGCGTATGGTGTCTCTGCTTGCAGGGCGTCATGGTGGGTATGGGTCAGAAAGATTCCTACGTGGGTGACGAGGCCCAGAGCAAGAGAGGTATCCTGACCCTGAAGTACCCTATCGAGCACGGCATCATCACCAACTGGGACGACATGGAGAAGATCTGGCACCACACCTTCTACAATGAGCTGCGCGTGGCCCCCGAGGAGCACCCGACCCTGCTCACTGAGGCCCCCCTGAACCCCAAAGCCAACCGTGAGAAGATGACCCAGATCATGTTTGAGACCTTCAACGTGCCCGCCATGTATGTGGCCATCCAGGCCGTGCTGTCCCTGTACGCCTCCGGCCGTACCACCGGTGAGTGAGCAACCAGATGCAGAGGAACGGAGGCAGGGCGACCTGCGCGCCCAGTCCCAGCTCTGCGCCCTCCGGCCCTAGCCCAGCTCTGTGTTGGTCTGTCTTTCCAACCCTGTACCCGAACCCCCGCTCCAGTCCTGGCCTGAGCCTCACGCTGCCCACCCCGGTGCAGGTATCGTGCTGGACTCTGGCGACGGTGTCACCCACAACGTGCCCATCTATGAGGGCTACGCCCTGCCACACGCCATCATGCGTCTGGACCTGGCTGGCCGCGACCTCACCGACTACCTGATGAAAATCCTCACCGAGCGTGGCTACTCCTTCGTGACCACAGGTGTGCGGCCTGGGTGCCTCAGGGTAGGTCCAGCGGGAGCGCGCTCCGGGGCGCCCCTCCCTCGCTGAATCCGTGTCCTGCTCCTGCCCCCTGCAGCTGAGCGCGAGATTGTGCGCGACATCAAGGAGAAGCTGTGCTATGTGGCCCTGGACTTCGAGAACGAGATGGCAACTGCTGCCTCTTCCTCCTCTCTGGAGAAGAGCTACGAGCTGCCCGATGGGCAGGTGATCACCATCGGCAACGAGCGCTTCCGCTGCCCGGAGACGCTGTTCCAGCCCTCCTTCATCGGTGAGCCCCGTCCCCCGCCGCCTGCCCGCGGGGCCCCGGGTCCGGTGCCCCGCTCATCCGCGGGGCCCCGCTGGCCGCTCACGCTGCCCCCCGCGGCCCGCAGGCATGGAGTCCGCCGGGATCCATGAGACCAC